CCCCCCCCCCCCCCCCCCCCCCCCCCCCCCGTTTATTTTTGTTCATGGTCCCATCTACTGCCAACGCTCGGCAGCATTTATATCCTACCATGCCACGCGTAGTTATCTCGTCGAGCACCCCCCCACCAGCACGCGTTGTGTACAAAGCTTGCAGCTAACGTGCCATGACCCCCCTCTTCCCGTTGGAAATGGACGTCGCGCGGTTAGATTCTTCGAGGCAGACAGCCCAAGTTGTACATACCCCGCCCTAATTTCCTTCCTCAAACGCCTTTTTCGTCCCAATGTTCTCGAAAACAGTCGGCAGCCCTAAAGCAGCAGATATCCGAGCTCGAGGCCCGGGTCGAGACAGCAGCAGCGCGCACCGCGGAGGTCGAGGCAAACATCGCCGGCTCCGTGGAGGAAGGCGTCAGGGCCGCCAAGGAAGAGACCGCCGAGGCGCGGCGGCTGGAGGAGGAAGGGGCCAAGGCCGCCGGCGAGGTGAGGGAGGCGCTCGCCGCGGCCCGCTCGGACCTGGACAAGACCAAGCGCGAACTCAAGCAGAGGGGACAGCTGGCCCGAAATCTCCTGGCCGAGAAGGACGCGGAGATCAACCGGCTGCGATCTGGGGAGGCGGGCGGCGGCCTGATGCACCTGCGCCCGAACGGCGACGGTGGTGTAGGTGCCGCGTCGGGGTCGGCGGTCGACGGTACCGCCCTGTCATCATCATCGCCGCCGCAGCCGCAACAGCAGCAGCAGCAGCCTGCTGCTGGCTCGCCTGCCGGAGGCTCCCCTCCCGTGACCGGCGCGTCATTGAACGGAGCAGGGGGGGGCGAGGGGGGAGGCACCGCCCCTGTGGCCGTCGGAGGCGTGAGCGCGGCCAGCAGCCCCGGCTTTGCTGTCGTCGTTGGATCCGACGGGTTTGCCACCGGGAGGAAAAGACTGCAGAGCGGTGGTGGTGGAACGGGCGGCGGCGGCGGCGGCGGGGGGGGGGGGTCCAAGCAGCCACAGCAGACGGCCGCGGAGTCCCACCACGCCGAGCAGCAGATCCTTCAGATGGCGAGGGTCCAGGCGCAGCGGGACGAGGAGACCGGGCGGCTCCGCGTCAACATCCAGAGGCTGGCGGACGAGATCCGCGCCCGCGAGGAGGAGCTGGCGGCCCGCGACGACGAGAAGGAAGAGCTCAGGAAGCGAGTGGAGGACCTCCAGGGGGAGGCCGCGAGGGCAAAGGAGCTCCTGGACGATGCCACCGGGCCGGAGAAGATGACGTACCTCAAGAACGTCGTCAAGAGGTTCGTGATGAGCGACGGGACGGAGCGGCAGCGGCTGGTGCCGGTCGTCGCGACCATCCTGAGCTTCAGCCCGGCGGAGACCAGCGAGGTCGGCAAGGCCGTCGCCGCGGCGGCCGCCGGGGGCGCGACTTCCTGGGGGTCTGTTTTCGGGTGACCACTTTTGCGATCTCGGCCGAAAAGAGCAGCCGGTAAAGACTGGTCATTGGTGTACTCGGCGATTTCAGGCCTCTTGTTGCGATGTTCGGTATTATTGGCAACCCGCTGATTAAATCCCGTGGGTGCGCGGGGCTTTTCCGTCATGCTAGTGGCATTTTACGGTTTGAATAACTACTGTTTGGTGTACTGGTTATTTCGTGTTTTTGACGTCGGCGCGTGTGACAGGGTATGGCCCAGCCCGGTCCGCCCGCCGTGTTTCGTTGCTTCTGATGCCATTCGTTTGCGCAGATGGCTCACCCTGATCGCAGAAAGACGGTGTTGCTGTAGAGCATTCCAGGGAGTCAGTTTTCTCTACAAGGTCGGCATTGTCAATCATGCGGTTGAATGGCGGGACGAGGAGAGAGACAAGTGACTTAGCGCCCTGCGCACTACGCAAGAGATAGCTGTGAAAATACCAGTTGTTTTACGTATTGTCGGTTGAGAGGGAATGTCCTTCGCGAGTCACCCTTCAACGCAAATGGATATTTTGCTCTGCCGGGTAATGGTGTAAGCGAACAATGGTGAAGCTGGCGTTTTAGACTAACCCTAAAGGTTAGTCCCGTAAGTTTTTTGGTTGAGATGTGCATTAACTAGTAAACTTTGTACCCAAGAATGATGGCGGAAAGCTGGGTATTTCGTGTTTGATTCAGGGAGCCCCCAGAAGTCTCAGGATACGGCCAATCTCTCAAACAAACGAATGGACTAATAAAATGAGGGGGGGTATTTGTCGTCACACAACCACCCTCCCCTCGCCCCGGGAAGCCTCCCCCGGGTATCTCAAAGCCTTCAACTATTCGGCGAATTTGCGGAGCCCCCCGGGGAACTCTGTGGCCCCTTGGAAGAGTTCCTGACAACACTCCGTTGTACGAAATGAAAAGGAAACCTCGGTTTATTTTTTTCTCAGTTGGGCCGTCATGCTGGAGCCAGGAGATACGATGCCGCCGCTGGTACCTTCCTTGTTGATGGCCGCGAGGCAAAGCTTGGCCTGCTCTCAATACTGACGCATAAAAAAGGGAGAAAAGGCTCGCCCCATTTCCCCGCAAGGGGCGTGCGTGTGAGCGCCCTCTATTTGCTGCCGCCGATCTGCTTAAGGAAGGAGTCAAGGTGCTGCCCCTGGTACTTTAGAAAGTCCACTTCTTCCTTCCGCTTCTTGTCGTCTACCGCGCGTCGCTCGCTCTCCCCTTTCTCAATCACCTCGACCTACACACCCACAAGACGCACACGAAGCGAAGTAGCAGTAGCGAGGCGAGGAGGTCCGTTTCTGTCGAAGCCATGACCAGGCAGAGCGACCACGGCACACGAACCGGAGGTGGGGGGACTTTGGCAGTGTGCACCACGTCTACAACCTGCATCCTAGTTCGCGTGGGGCGACCCTGAAACTGCGTGAGGTGCCAGGCGTCAAGAACAATCTTGGCGACGTTGTGCTTGAAAGACGATGCGCCAACTTGGCTTGCGTGACGTTGCGTGCCTTGTAATAAACAATGCGCCACACGGATCTGTTTCGCTTACCTTGTTTCGCAGTTCCGATACGTGTAGCTCCAGCCCTTTTTTGTCCTCCCCCAATGCAGCAATCTGACAGCAGCACCCCCAACGGATATTATTGCAACGAAAAGCGCCGACAGGGTTGAAGCAAAATTAAGGGATACATCGAAGTATCCGCATTGGGACGCAATCGACAGGTGATCCGTACCACACTTTGAATCTACGTACGTCAAGGCAACCCATGCGTCAACAACTGCATAATAATCAATCGTGGACCCCGAGACATTCTCGATATTTACCGTGCTCGTTGTACAGTCTTATCAAGCTCACCCTTTTCGGGCGACAACAACAGCAACAACAACAACATATTATATTTCCCTCTCTTTTGTTCCACGCTAGGCCGTAGTGCAACAGAGCTGGACACCGGACCTGCTCCTCCATCTCTGCCATTCCTTGCTCCGCTTGCAGCTGCTTCTTGACGCCGAAGGTCACGCTGCTGTCGTACAGAGTCTTGTACGCGTCGATAGTCATTCTGATCTCGTCGCGCACCCGCAGGCACAGCAGCCCACGCTCGGGACCGTCTAGTGTCACGTGTCGGATAAGTTCGTCTGCGACGATTCGTAGGATGTGCGGTGGATAGGGGTTAAAAAATGTTTGCTTGGATGGGCTTCGTCGACGTCGCAGTTGGCTGCTGCAAGGACCACTCCGTACTGTGCTCGCCGCTGGTTTAAAAGAAAGTTCTAGGTTTGAAGGCGAAACACGTCGAACGTCCTGCGAACGAAGCTCATTCATCCAGACGCGAAGGGAACTCAAGAGGAAAGGACCCCAGAGAATCGCCCACGAACGGTGTGCTTTCATTCCAAAACCTTTGGGCTCATCTTGCGTCGCATCAAGTGGGCATCATCTCAGATGCTACTGCTGTCCGTTTTTGGCCCACCTCGGTGGCTAGAGGAGGCACACTTCCTCGGGAAACCCACTCCAATGCCAGTTAGTTGTGGGGGAGCTGTCCACATCCATCCTGTTGAAAACAACGACGAGACCTTTATTACTCAGGAGTCTGTGTCTTGGCTACCAGCGCTTACCGAACGCCTGAGTATACAGATCTTCCCGGACGGGGCAAATGCCTGTTTCCAACGCCTGTCTCTCCAGCAGCTTGTTGTCCAATTGCTCCTGAGCAACGAGCACAAGGTTGCACGGGAATAACGCGGTGAAGGCGTGAGAGGTGGGCGCTGGTCACCGAGGAAATCAACCGCAGCAACTCAACGTTTGGGGTCTCTTGCCACAAATTTCATGTTGTGCCAGCTGCTGACAAGAGATTAGGCACAATACTAACGAGGAAAGGTTTTGGGTCGAAGCACGGATCGTTTAGATGGCAGTGCAACTGTTGTGCTGCCGACCTACGAGAGGAGCTCGCCCGTTCAGGCCTCTCAGAAAATGTACACTTTTCAGCGCGGTGTCTGCAGTATGTGGCGCCCGCCGGTGTACCTAAAACAAACGTAAAACTGGGCGTCCAGAAAATAGACATGACAACACATACACAAACACTCTCCCTTCCGCTGGCACTGACGCATTTTCGTTGTCCAGTCGGTTAGCGCGGTCGGGCTGATGCATAACACACACAACGCAGGGTGCTAACTTTTGAACTGGAGCACCGCAGTTTTCGATGAAAAAACTTTGCACGTTTACAGGTTGCACCGCAGAGGATGTTTTCTATTCAGTCCGAGCTACGACTGGAACGTAGACGAAGTTGACTAAATATGTGAGAGACAATGTAGTGGTCTTTACAGGTGCTGGAAGCAAATCTACGGAAGATCAATCCATGCAGGCAGCAGCAACAACGGCAGCGGCACGCAGCAGCAACAATAGCAGCAGCAGCAGCGCAGCAGCAGCAACAGCAGATAGGTTGGCAGACCACGTTGACCTCGCTATCGTTTTTTAGCCAGGCACAATACTAGTACAGAATCTTTCAGCGTCAAAATCGAGCGTTCCGGCGCACCTGGCGAACACGTTACCCTACACCCGCGCGGTTTGCAAACGGCGTACTCCCTCCAACCTAAGATACAACTTTGACCTGTTTCTGCCCCAATCGTCTACATCTCAGACTTACGTCGTGTGTTGGCGCAAACATGAGAGTGATGCACAAATTTTGGTGTACGTGAGTGACACTTTGAGAGAGCAAACATGCTTTACGTCACAATCTACTATTGTATGCCGGATCATGGCTCCCCGACCTGTGTCCGTTCATGTCGTATGTAACATATGTCTCCCTCTTTTCGTCAGGATACCTGGAGTGCGATGACCGCTAACCGTGTCGCCGGTTCCTTGCTGACATACTGCATCCACGTCCCCGTCTCCTCTGTCCACTCTCGCGGAGGCAACATAGAGTTCACCATGTCGTCTAGCTGCGACGCCTTACCCTGCTGACCTTTGCCCCCCATGCCGCCACCTCCCCGGTTGCTGCCTCCCCCATTTCCTCCCATCAATAGTGCGTTGTCGCCGCCGTTGTTTGGGTCGGACGAGGGCTCTAGGCCGGCAAAGATCGGAGGATCAAATTTTACGAGTGTTTGTGGTACCTCCATCGGGAATTGCATGCCCTGCTGCGTCATGTCGGGCCCTCTCCCTACGTTCACGTCCATCGTTGTATGTGTGCGATTACTGTGAGCCCGTCGGCAGACAAGCTTACCCACCCAGAGTAGCGACCAGCTGAAGGGCGTACAATGCCAGGTGGCCGCCCGCCGTCGTCGGTGGTTGAAAAAAATTACTGAACAGTTTCGCCGCGGGGCCATACCCTTGTTTCGAATCACCGGTGCCCCTATGATACACCACGTGACAGATCCCCAACACGAACAGGTCAAACGCACCAGCACAACTGCTTTGCACCAACGCAAGGGAAGGAGATATTGGAGGCACGCCAAGCACAGCAGCAATATGGTGGGTGTGAAAATTGCGGCCAGCTGCAGCGTTTGCTTGTAGCCGTTGTTCGCTTCCTTGGGGGATAGTTGTTTACAATGGTACCGTGGGTCTTCAACCGCTGCACAGCATACAGCAAGTGTAGACAACAATTTTAGCGGTACAGTCGATAGACTCCCTCCGAAGCATCGCTATCTGGTCGCTGGTTGTTATACACCAGGTTGTATACGAGCATTGTCATAACTCGTGGTGATGATTTAGAAAACACATCGAAGGTACCTGCTGTGGTGCATGTCGGTTGCGCGTTGGTTGTTGTATGCATACTACAAAACTGCTGCCGAAAACGTCCCGTCGAGGTCTGAAAGCTCCAAGACGCAGACTCTTGTGTAGTCTTGATTTCGCTGCTGCAAGATTTTGTGGCAATTTGCGAAACAGGTACTGCACATTTCAGGTTGCGCGTACATGGCTCCAAACCACTGAACAGAGGGGAAACCGCACTACCCTGTAGAACAACAGGTACATGGGTCATCAGATTTTACTCTTCTTGTACTGTATCCATCTCGAATGCTGGAACTCCATGTAAAAGGTTGGAGTTACAGCAGTGCTGCTGTAACGAATTTTTTATTGTTCTGGAACTCTTGGTGGAGGACCGGTCTTCGAACAAACGCCTGAATGGACTCATTCACTCATTCATGTATCGCCTGCATGCGTTTACCGCAATCAACTGAATCCTTCTCCCCTGGTTCAAACGAATTTCTGAGTAGAACGAGAATTATTATTGTATCGTGCCGTCGTTTTGAGGATGTCGCATTGCAATCGAAACCCATCCCTCGGCCAACGTGAGTACCAAACCGTAACAATGCGAGTCATCGCACAAATTGGAATCATCCCACATGTCAAAGCCATCGCGCAGGGGTGTAAACAAAAGTCAACAGAATAACTATCGTAGTTTTTCTGCGTAGACCACAATTTAGACTTTCATTGCTCTGTTCCCCGTGTGCTCAATGTGTATGCGACTAGTCCCTCCTCGACCAAGGGTTGCTACCGTATACCACGACACAAGATAACACGCCTCCCGGACCAATTTTCAAAGCTCGATTTCTCCGCGACGAAGAGGATGCATAAACGAAACGATACGTTTTCGGAGAGCTCTCAACCAGATGGCTTCAACGCCGCCGTTTTCGGCGCCGTGACTCTTTCTGCTGTTGATAAATCGAGCTTTGAAAATCAGTCCAAGGGGTGTGTTATCTTGTGTCGTATACAGTACTCTGTGGTGCTGACCGTGCTTCGTCAAACCACACTTCACTGCTACCTATACCGCGTGTCTATTTAACTGCTACCACTTACAGTTCGACAAATATAACACCTTTCGATAAGCCACGACCGTCAAAGTTTTTTCGCGAGCGGTGAGAGTTTCTTTGGGCCGTCTGGATTTCTGTTCTCGTCATTTCGGCTTAAGCCATTTTTTGCTAGCTCGGATAAGCGACGAAGGGTGGTGCATCGGGTGGAGACCAGAACGGGTTCGAATGTGAAAGCAACAACAACCGTAGCACCACCACCACCAACAACAAAAAAAACAATAACGACACGCACACCAACCACGTGTTACAACGTTGCAGGGCGACCTCGAGGACAAAATCCTGAAGAAGAATATCCCCGGCAAGTACACATGGTGGGAAAAGGACAGCGACGAAGAAGGAGAAACCGCTCGGGCGGACTGGGTAGACCGGGAGGCGAGCGACCCCGAGAGGGAGATGACGGAGATGGAGAAGCAAAAGAAGTGGGTAGACAACGATTGCCCCGAGCCCATCCGGCGGACGATCATGGCGCGGCAGGAGAAGGAGAGGGCGAGGACTGGCGTGAAGGGCGTGCTGGCTGATTTCGACGCCTGGAAACTCTCGGCGGATGCGGGTGCGTTGGCGTTACCAGCTGTGGTACTGCTGTAGGTTGTTGTTTGGCTGTGGGCCTGCTGGTACTCTCCCTCGCTCGTGCGGCGAGCGCCTTCCAAGTGCGTACCACTGCTGACGAAGCAGGTTGTGTAGGGTGGTTGCAAGTGTTCTCTGCCTTGTCTGTCTGCCTGTCTGTCTGTCTGTCTGTCTGTCTGTCTGTCTGTCTGTCAATATCCCTCCTCTTCCTCTCCCTTCCTCTATCTTTCTTTCTCTGCTCACTATCCTCGGCGTTCTTCATTCTTCATACATGTATCACCCGTGTTATGCACCCTTTCCGTGCCCACCATGCCCCCTCCAACGCTCCTGCTGCTTGTCGCGATCTAACCCCCCCCCGCCCCCCCCAGGGGGTGGTTTGAAAAGGCGGGAAGGGATATCTATGGGATAGACAGACTAGGGAAGACATTTTTGAGCCACCTTTGGCAAAGTAGGAAGGAACGATTGGCCATCGGTGATCGATCCTGTGGGAACAATGCTCCGTCCTCTCCAGGACGCGTGGTCAATGGTCTAACCGCCAAGGCAAAAACTTAAGAGTACGCCCCCCCCCGCCCCCCCCCCCGCACTGGCATACGCGTAGAGGATCTCATTGCTAAGGAGTACCGAGCGGCGATGCTCAAACGCATGACGGAGGGTCATACAGTTCCAGGTTCCTTGGCTGCCACCACCACCACCACCGCCACCACCGGCGACGGCAGCGACGGCAGTGACGATGACGACGACGACGGGGGTTTCCTAGGGAGCTACCGCCGAAGGCGGTTGGAGCAGCTCAAGGCCACCGCGGGGCGGCCGCAGTTCGGGCAGATCGTGGAGGCGGAGCGCTCAACGTTTGTCTCAGCGGTGGACACAGAGGACCCCAGGACTAGCGTGGTCGTGCATCTGTACGAGCCGTATATCGACGCTTGTCGCCGAATGAACAGGTTCTTGGAGGTATGTGTACTATGTAGGTTTGTGCGGGGGGGCGGCGGAGGGCTAAAGGTTGGTGAGAGCACGCTTTCGTTGATGGCGGCTGCGACGCTTTTCGCGACTTGTTGCCTCGCGAGCAGATACTTGGAGATATACAAGGTGATGAGATGTGTTGCATGCCTAGTCTCTACGAAAGTGGATGAGCGAGAGGGGGCAGAAGAAGGACTTGTGGCAACGGGCACGCATAGTCGGCTGGTTGGGTGTTCCTGACCGCCAGATGTGCACTGAACCCAACGTCTGTCGCACCTTGGGGGTAGCCAAGCATTAACTTTATCAGGGAAGACAAGGAGCACCACGAGTGTTTTTGGTGCCTCTTCTAGCTATTTGGAGTACGGAGCGTGCTCTGCGTGCTCTGTCTCCAAAGAGGTGCGTCGTGATTGGAGTAACCATAAAACTTGCCCTGTGCCGATTCTCATCTCTCCCGCGCTGTATATCTACTGTCTCCACATCACCAGGTTTTGGCGACCAAGCAGCCCACGGTGAAGTTTCTGCGGCTGAGGAGCTCGGCGGCAGAGGGGGGCGACTACGACCCAGTGGCCCTGCCGACGCTGCTGCTCTACAGGGCGGGGGAAGTAGTCGGGTGCATGACACGTGTCACTGACGACATCGGGGAGAACTTCACGCAGGAGGACGTGGAGTGGCTGCTGCAGGAGCACGACGTTTTCGAGGCAAGTTCGTGGTATAGGCCAACTCGTTGCATGCAGCGGTCGTCGTCGTAATTTTGTGTTGGCCCTCCTTTCGTTTGTGTTGGATTGCCCCAACTTTGTTGTTCTATTCTATACTATAATAGTACTCCATGAGTGTGCTCTTTGAATTGTATCACCTTGTCTTTTTTCCGTGTTTATTTATCGTGTCGTCTATCATGAGCTGTCGGCTCCGATCCCAGATCCCGAACCCCACCGCCACACTTGGCCCCTTCGAATTTTTGCTTTTGGCGAATGCGCTGTTCTTCTTCCTCTCTTGCGCAGGCATTACAGAACCCACAAGTTTCGGGGGCAGGGGCGGGGGGAGCGGGCGAAGGGGTTGCGGGGGGTGTTCACGGCATGTCGACCGGCCGGAGGCGAAGAGAAGATGGCCTCGCTGACAGCGACGATGACGCTGGCAACGACAGCTGATCTTCTGGGCTATTGGCTACAAAGTAGCCTTTGTTTTTGGTATTATCACCTGTTCTTGTTGTCGGGTGTGTGACATGTTCATGTGTTGTAAATGTTTTGGTGGCTAATCTAGATGATGATGTGGTTGTGTACCCGCTTTGCCCGTGACTGGCGCATCAACGGGTTTCATGTGGAAACTGGAGTGAGAGGTTCCGCGGCGTTTGTTCGACCAGGGCGGCCCCGGTGGTCTGGTTGGATGCTGCACCGTCTTCTCGCGGCTAGGGTTGAGTCTCGAATCTCGGGGATGTTTGGTTTTTTGCGCCGCCCAGTTGTACCCAGTTCAGCAGCACTGTTGAAGGAATGGATACAAACAACGTTGTAGGAGTTGTTGTGATTGTTGTGAAGATGTAAATGAACGCTTTGAAAGAGAGCCCCTGCTCAATTCAACCGATTTTACTTGACATTTTCGGGGTTGAATGCATCGTGTCGCGTCCCCGGGGTTCCGATTGTATGTCGTTGTTCCATATTCCAAGTAGCGACGCCCGATGCTCTTAGAAGTGCCTATGGTCGGCAAGATTGCAAAGCAGGAGACCACTACAGTATTGCTGTGGTTCCTATGTCGAGGGGACTTGGGAGGCAGGGTTGCGTGAGTGAGACCTCTGTGATAGTTCTGAGCAGTGCCGCGTGTGTGAGCAAGAAAGAAAGCGTCATACAATCCGGGTCGAGCAGCAGAGCAAAACAATATCTGGGTCTCGAACCATTCACAGAAGCATCGAACGGAATCGAAAGGATACACATCCCTGTGCTATCCAGAGCTCGGGTGAGAAGAGGGCAGCGGATAGTTTTTCAAACCCCTTCCGAGATTCAGAGATTGGAGATAAGGGATTTCGAGGTACACACCATCCAGTGATCTACGATCTACCTCAAGGAAATTTGGATTTTCGAAATTGTACAGCTGCAGGATGGACAACAAGAACACCAAGTGTTGGCCTCGTTTCGCGGATCAGAGTGGTATGCATACACTCAAAAAGAGGTGGCACATGAGCTGCTACCCCGAATATCCACACCAGCCAATCGCCAATCGCGTATCGCGTACAGGCCATCGATGATCTGCGGATCTCCGACCCTTCTCGGACGTGACAATTTGGTGGGGAGAGGGTAAGAGCGGTGCTGCTTGTCATTGGTGGGTAGTTGCCTACGGTACTAAGGGTGAGCTTCTCAGCCCCCAGGTCCATTTGACAAGATTTTCTCGGAAATTTGACCATGTAATCACCTCTCCATCGCCCTGCTGTCTGCTGTCCATCCAGCGTCTGGTCGCGGTGTGCGTGTGTTGATACTCAAATAATTGCACCGCATTTTTTGCGGGGTTTTCCAGTAATAAATAGTAAAGGGTCGGGCCGTTGGGCCCGTTGAGGTCTCTTTCATTCAAACCAAGTTCATCCTCCTTCCACGCTCGGCACTCTGCACCACCCAGCACGCTGCGCTGTTTTCGCTGTGTGTCAGCCCTGCTGTTGCTGTGTACGAGACGCCACGCCCATCACACCGACATATCAATCTGCGCGAACATCAATACTTCGGCAGGTATGCCCGCCTATGCGTACAAGTAGTATTAGTCTAAGTTCAGGTAGGACCGTACCAAGCGAGCGTCCGTTCGTACCTGCATGTGTTCATGTGTTGCAACAACACGTGTGGGGAGGCGGTGCTGTCGTAAGCCCTGGTCGATAAGACATGCCTGGCGTTTTGCCTTAGAACTCTTCTTGTCTAGTTCAACCCCTCTCAGGCATATTCCAAACTTGCTGCGTTTGAGGAATTGTCTACATTTGAGAGATGGTTAAGCTCCACCTTTGCCATCGTGACTTTTCTCCATGGGGACTGCGCGGCATCCGTACCTACTTTATACTCCAGGTGCTTGCTGTAGATCACGCGCAGTCAGGTGTCCCTCTTCTGGCGTTCAGTCGGCCCGAAATCCGGCGAAGGTGAGGTCTCCCTCGGGTCCTCCGGCTGCTGTTGCCCTCTGCGGATGTTATCCTCGAAAGCGGATGCCGCGTCCGCTTCTAGTTCCAACCAGTCGAAGTAGTTGTTCCTGACGTGCGCGTTTTCGTCTACAACGCCGTTGACGCCAGAACGTGCCGCCCATGGATCTCCTAGATTGCGGAACAATAGGTGGATCCAGTAATCTCCGGCCTCGTCCATTGTCTGTGCTTTGTCGAACAAGAAGAGACCCCTGGCGCTGGCTGCTGAATAAAGCGTTGCGTTTTGTCCCGACCCCGTAGGCTCCCACACTGCGATGTTTACCTCGTACAGGTCTGCGATGAAAGCCAGCCAGCTAACGTCGAGCCAGTCCTTCTCAATTTTTTCGTTGACTCTTGCCTCGAACCAATCGCACCTTAGCTCGCCTTTGGGCTGCCCCTCGATCGCTTTGCCGGTAGCACAATTCTTGATTTCAGTCAACCCCATATCGATGCCCTTCGTCACCTCATCGCCTGAAAGTGTTGCCTCGGGGTCGAATTCTGTCCCGAGCACGTGCCGGAGTAGGCAGGACACCAGGGCTGTCTTGATGGCATCCACATCATGCGGGGTGTTCACTTGCCCTTTACACCCCAGCAGGCCACCACGTATGGAGTGGTACCCGCACGACCCGTCGCCGGCTGCATGCTTGACCCTTGCTCTGGTTGGACACAAGAAGGCGGGCATAGTCGACGTCTCCCGCAAGACGACACGCCGTCAACCAGGCTGCCATAAACGGCGTAGCCTCAACATCTCAGCCCCCAGTACTACCAAGAAAACTTGCCCCTATCGCGACCAGGGACACATAGTTAACCGCAATGGCAGCAAGAACCTGTCCAGCGGTGACAGCAGGCGTATCGACGGGTCCGCGCAAGGAGGTTCAGCTGTGCCATCGGCTGTCGACAGAAAGCGGAACGGCTGCTCTAGTGCACTCGGGCTCTCGGCGACATCGTCGGATTAGGATAGGTAGAGGACAAAGCGAGCCCACCAATCTTCCGCCGGCATACCTGTCGCTCCTGCCCACGTGAAAACAGAAGAAGAGGCCCGCACCCCCTGGAAGAGGCCCCGATTTTGGCGCCAAAGGACACATTGTGAAGGTCAAGGGCTGATTTAAACCGCTCTCGTTAGGATACCTTGTGTGTCATGCAACATTGTAATTGTTTCAAAGACGTTGGAAGCAATTGAGCCGGTGTGGCGTGGTGGTTTCTTCGTCTTGTTTTATATCAAATCGATAGACCATACTGCGTGTTCTGGAAGTTTTCTTTGGAGAGAAATAGCTGGGCGATACGACCGTGGTTGCGCGGCACTTTCCAAGACCTCGCTTCTTCTCTCTTTCTTTCTCTGTTCCCTATCAGCGCGGTTCTTCCTTCTTCATATATGTATGTCTCGTGTAGTGAGTCGCGATCTAACCTCCCCCCCGCCCTCCCCTTCCGCCCCCGCACCGATATGCGCGTAGAGGATGCCATTGCTACAAGGAGTACCGAGTGGCGACGCTCAAATGCATGACGGAAACCAGGCTCCTTGGTTGCCACCACCACCACGACCGGCCATGGCAGCGACGACGACGACGTTCACGAGGGTTTCCTAGGGCTGCCGACGGCGATTAGAACAGCTCAAGGCCACCGTGGGACGGGCGCAGTTCGGGCAGATCGCACACTTTCGGTGTGTTGGGCCGCGTTTGGACGCCTTTCGCGACTCGTTGCCACACGAGCAGATACTTTGGAGATATTCAAGGTGATGAGATGTGTTGCATGCCTAGTCTCTACGAAAGTGGATGAGCGAGAGGTTGTCAGAAAAAGGATACGTTGCAACAGGCACGCTTGGCCGGCTGGTTGGGTGTTCCTGACCACGAGATGTACACTGAACCCAACGCCTGTACAGCCCTCTTGGGGTGGCCAAGCGTTTTCCATGCAAACTACAAGTATACCAGGAAAGACAGCGCACCACTAGTGTTGCAGGAGAGCGCTCCGTCTCAATGGAGGTGCGTGGTGAGTGGAGTAACAATAAAACTTGCCCTGCCGATTCTCATCTCTCCCGCGCTGAATGTCGCGTATCTGCTGTCTGCGCACAGGTATCTCTCATGAGGTGACAACACGAGACATATCGGTGTTGCAATCAATGAGCTGTCGGCTCCGATCCCAAATCCCGAACCCCCCCGCTACACTTGGCGCCGCCGCCTTCCGAACTTTTGTTTTGTGCATGCGCTGTTGCTTCCTCCCTCGACCAGGCGTTGCAAAGCCCATTAGTGTCGGGACCAGGGGCGGGGGGAGCGGGCGGAGGAGAGATATTCACAACATATCGACCGCCTGGGGGCAAAGAGAAGAGGGTCTTGCAGACAGCGACGATGACGCTGGCACAAACGGCTGATTTCCTGGGCTATGTTCACAAGTGGCCGTTGTTTTCTGGTATTTTCAGCTGTTCTTGTTGTCATGGTTGTGACCTGTTGAGTTTTAGTGAATGTTTAAGTGGCTAGTCGTATCAACGACGCCAATCTACGTGGACTCGCCGTGCTGGCGCGACAATACGAAAGTTTATATGAGCGACATTGTATGTACGATGCGATATATTTTCAACATTGCCTGCGATTTGTTTGTTTAACCACGGCGAAGAAGAGCGAACACATGCCATCGTTGGGTCATCTTCGGTGCAGCTCGAAGATGAGTAGTCGTTCAGTCGTCGCTGTATCCTTCAAGATTAACCGCGAGCCTCGCGGAAAGGTCTGTAGTGTTCCCTTCGCCGCAATGAGCAACCGCATGGGGACAATGTTGGGGTCGTCATAGCCCACCAATGGGTTGCTCACGCGATCCGTGGACCAAATGGGCTGCTCCTGGGTTGTTGATAGCCGTCATCGGCTACCCACGGGCCGCCAACGGGCGCCCCCTGGGCCTAACGGGCGTACCATGGGTCCATGGTCGGTCCATGATGGCGTGTTGGCTGCCCATGGACCGTCCTAGATCGATCGCTGCGCTTTGAATCAGTGTCCCTTGGGTCGACGACAACCGTGGCGAACACCGCGGGCTGGGATGGTATTCAGTTTACATGAAACGAACCATAATCTGATATGAGGGGATCGTCAACGGTATCCCACGAGCTGGCAAAATTTCCGTTACAAGTCACACAATTATGTCAAGCGAATACAGAACGTGTTTGTCATCGCTCGCAGTGTGTACGTCACGCTAATGCCGACGTACTGTACAGACCAGTGTGCCATACAATATATCGGGTGGGTCAAGTCTCCCTTGGGCCGTTGGACGCAACGGTGACTCAAAAAATGTGAAGCTTACGATGTATCCTTTCAGTCCCAGAGATCCGGGCGACTCAGGTGCTACCGTTTCACCGAGGGAACAGGCACTACAAAGTCCGTGTGGGGTTCTCAACCGGGTGTCCTACATGCGTGCTAAACTTATTCAAATTCTGACAATACTTGAGCCCAACCCTGTGACCTCCCAATTCATAGTGATGTAGGAAGGACGACGGCGTGCAGATCTGCGTCACTAAAACAAACGTGCCGACTTCATCTGGCTGCAAAAACAGTGCAGGATAGCGGAGTGGATGCCTGCATATTGTACAGCCGCTGTTCAGGATCCCAGCCGCTCTTGGATAGGCTTCAAATGACCCGTCAACTGGAACTCGGCTTTCAACGACGAAAACAGAAACCAAACCGTATCGAAAACCGCAAACTCCGAGTACATATATACACGCGAGGCTCGCTACAAAAAAACACGAAGCCTCGTACCTCATAATGGCACCAAGACAGTCAATTCCATAGTTCACTTTTTGCCCGTGCTCATTCTTCCTCCCCGACCAATCAAAAACATCCTCATCCGTCGGGGCCAAACGGAGATCATGGTCGCAGATCTACGGTAGCCCAAAGTCCATGGTCTTCTCCCGAAAAGATCCCTCAGCATATGCAAAAGGACGGACGTTACTGGGGCAATATAGAGGTGTGGACGAGCGGTTTCAATCTGAAGATGAGAGTTTATCACGGTCGCAATGCTCCAATGTGCATCTTTTGCCCGCCCTTTGTCGTCAGCACCACCACTGCCGCGGCTGCCCCCGCCGCCGCCGCTATCGCCATGAGCACTGCCGTCTCGAGTCTCCACCTGCCGCCGTTGCCTCTGGCGGTGGTTCCCGATCGCTGTTTGCACGTACAACCGTCAGGTTAGAGTCGGGCAGTCAAAGCAGCATGAAACGCAGACACGATTTTGTAACATGTTTCGGAACGGCGGGGCGAGTGGGCGTTTGTTGCTGTTTGAGGTCAAATGGTGCAGCACGTTTCCCACGAGAAGCACCACAGCAAAAGAAAAAAAAAACAGCAACAGACCAACTGGAACGCTTGCAAAACGATTCCCACCTGTTTCTACAACCATTTCCGCTGTGGAAGCCATGATAATTGCCTTTTTGCCCCTTCCGCTCTAACCCTAACCCTGAGTTCCCAACTGGTCATCTCGCTCAGAGCTCGCTCGGATCCTTACCGTGTAGGTTCTACCTAAGATTATTTCTCCCCCATCCCCCCTGCCTCTGCTTCTTGACGATCTACATGCTCTTTGCTGCTTCTGTCTCCTTTTTCTCTCCCCAGCCCCCCCGCCTGCTCTATCCCTTTTCCTCCTACGCCCCCAGTATGCGATGTTGCCATCCCACATCCCCCATCTTACCGTCGCCGCCGCCGCCGCCGCCGAGGCTATGTTGCCCCCTCCCCCGTCCTCCTTTGCGTTTCTCTCTGTCACCTCCCAGCCAAGCGATCGCTCTACCGCACGCAGCCAGTTCCAAAGAAGCTGGTTGCAAAAAAACCAGACGCAAATGCCGGCAATGGGAGTGGGTGAACGGGGTACACCGGTTTGAATATGTAGGCGGTGGGATTCGTGGTGAAGGCGGCGGCTTCTGAAGCATCAGAAACGACGACGACGAGGATGGCGACGGACGACATCAACAGAGCCACAATCACCACTACACACCAGACATCGGCAACAACAACGAACATCCGCCACCGCCGTCAAGCAGCCTCGACAAACCGCGTACATCACACCACACCACACCACGACACACCACGACACATGACCTACCATGTCGCGCTTCTCCGCCGCCATGGTCGCCTCGTACTCCTGCCCTAGCGCCCAGGTCTTGGACAGGTCGTCTATGTCCTCCCACACGCCCACCGCAAGGCCGGCGGCAAACGCTGCTCCGAGAGCCGTCGTCTCCGACATCTTGGGTCGCAGAACCTTTTTTCGTCGACGGCAACACACGGAAAGAAAAACACCGAAAACAATTACCAGTACATGGTATATTGTTTCGAATAACGGAGACGTCACGAAGACTTCGGTCACCACACTTGACATTGCATCACAGCCTGGCAGCCTGGGGTAACGGTCCGTCGCGATGTCGTGTCATTTGGTCAAAACCAAGAAGCAAGAGAGGAACGACACACAGACCCACCCCCCACCAGTTCTTCAGGGCAGAAAAGTCCCATGCATGCCGTGTACCTGAAAATATGCGCACCGCGCTTTGTTGACAAACGTGAAACGGTAATAGACAGAACTAATTTTAACGCGAGGGACGGGCCACATACGCAACCCAGCCAAAAAAACACATGTCATTTGGCACACACGGCTGTCGTCTGGTACAGTGCACGTCGAATCGCTAGGCCTCAGGGAACCAAAAATGGGAGCGTGCTGCCTCCACTCGCTGTTCCGTGGGTTCTCGATCTACTCAACCTCGAACACGTCGCTGACGTTCTGGTTTAAGGAAAGGGATCTTGACCTTGTGTCAGATATTGCCATCAGATGGTTAAGGCTCTGACAGTCGAGATTTTTAGGCGTTCAACTGATCGAATCCTACATATGAACTCCCCGAAACCAAAAACAATTAATTAAATCAAACACCCCCATATACATATTATAATCAGCGCCCATAGTGCTGTTTACTCCAACCCGCGGTCACACAGAAGGGCCCCTCTCTACTCTCCCCTCCTACGGTACGCTGCCTTCGATTTTTAATGCGATAAGAGTTCAGCACTTTCTTCCCTCTGTGTACACACGAACTAGCGCTATCCACTGGGCCAGGAGCGGAAGCGAGAGAAAAACTCACTTTGCAAGAAAAGCTCGCTTTCGCCGGGATTCGAACCCCTAACCTGACCTCTAGGAGGGTTTGAGGATACCACCTACAATACTGCTTCCAGTCGTTACAAAAATTGACGCTACGGGAGATTCGAACTCCCGACCTCTACCACCCTAAGGTAGAATCATAGCCAACTAGACCAGCAGCGCCGTATGCGATGCCTACCGCCTAATGTACTTTGTAAGATCCTGCGACGCCTATTGTACTAGACTTGAAAGGCCGTCCGGCCGATATTTGATGCGGGCAGTCTGGCCTACAGTCAGTCAGTATGACATAGAGCGGGTATCAATCCCTGTTGCAGAGATTCCCACAAAAGTAATGGCGAAATGCGTGTCTTTGGCAACGCAAGAGGTTCATGACGGCACCATCTGCGAATCGATTGTACCAAACACTTCAACAATCACCCATGACTTCATGATCCGCGTCGACCCGTATCGTAAATGACCATCGTCCCTTGGTGTTGTATCATGATATGATGTTCACGAAACGGCAAAATCGGTAATTTGGGATATCAACAAGACCAGCCGAACTAAAACACAAAAACAACGAGAAGAATCTAGCAACGTTAACACATATCTAAAACAAGATTCACAACACAAGTCCTAAGACATAGGGTCGAGAGTGTTTGCACCCACGTCGACACACGGCAGTTGAAGGACGGGCTTGTCGTCGCTACTTGCTTACTCGCCCTAGGTCCAAAACTTACAGGGACGGATCGCAGAAATTGCCCGCTTGGATCTGCACGAGGCCAAAGAGATGGCCGCATGCCAAAATGCAAGAATAATAACGATACGAGCAACACAAAGGGTGTTTCTCTCAGCAATCGACCTTTGCCTTTATTGGTCACCTGCACACCAAGAAGGTCGGCCTGGAATTGCATGAGCAGGGCGTTGGCGGTCATACCTCCGTCGACCTTTAGGCTCACCGCCTCCACTCCGCTGTCTTGGTTCATGGCTCCCAGAACCTCTTGAACCTTGAGAGTTTGAAACAGTAAAGCGCAAAAACCGGAGGGTTCGCGATTCGCTCGCCAAAACGTCGTCAGGGGATGTGCTCTGGGCTCGGGAAGGAGGCGAGGACAATTCTGCCCCATGTAGTCAAGCCAGCTACCCAAGGGAAGCACAACAAAAATAACACCAACGACGAGGAAGACGTATTGGCGCGCAGCCCCCGGCCCGCTCTACATTTTCTATTTATTTTGAGAAAATAGTAACAACGGTAGGGTGACGACAGCGACAACGACGAAGCCATCGGGGGGACCAAGGGATGTTCTCACTCGGCTTAGACCCGTCAACCATTTTCGCGTGTGGGTCGGCTACAGTAAGCCCAGCGAGCCGCTGCCGGGCTGCGTAGTCGGGCGTACGAAATATAGATGCTTGCCTCACACCCGTGAATATCCCCCCCAAAAACAAGCACTCCTCCTCACCAAAACCTAGCTGACTCTACTAGCAAATATGGGCCTTTTGGTGGAACAGCCAGCTCCCCCACGAAGCACTGGGCGTACGTTGACCCCCGGTCCCCTCTAGGTCACGCCTTACCACCAAAGTGCCGCCGACTCTAGCACGGCTCTCGCCACACGCAAGCCTCGGTCCCTCTACCATGTGCGCAAGGGTTATATTGTACGGACCTGACCCCCTTGCCCCCGTCAAAAGCTACTACCTACCAAAGGATGACGGCACGCAAAGCCATGGATGCACCCCCCACCCCCTACCTATGGCGACAAGTGTGGCTATTCCCAGAACCCCTTCTCTCCGCAGATGGACATTGCTAACCTGAAAGGCCGTCGACTCTAACACGGCCCTAACCACGTGCGCCTTCGTGTTGTACGCAGTCAGTCCGCACATGAGGCCTCTCGCGTCCCCGCGCCAGTGAGGCGCCAGCAACCCGGCGAAGGCCGGCACGAAGAAGACGCCGCCGTTGTCCTCCACGGTGCGCGCCAGGGCCTCGATTTCGGAGGCGGATTTTATCATCTTGGGGAGGTAACGCGATGAAGGGAAGTGGGGCGGAGGGAGGGAGAAGGGCACGTGGAGAAGTTACAAAGACAGAGGGAGAGAGAGAAAGCGGCGGAGACAGAGACATGCGCGTCGAGTGGGAGGCACAGAGAATCAGAGATGGATTCGCGCGATTGTCTCGTGCCCTACTCAAGTTTAGTTTTCACCAGGTAATCTCTTCGTGTCATAATCCCTTGCAACAGTGCCTTCAGTTCGAGCTTATCAACATGTTTTACCTCGATGTCGTTTCATTTCCCCACCTCAAGATTATCGCGGAGCCACTGGACCGTCGAGCCGGCGTAGGCGATCGAGCCCTCCAGCGCGTAGACACAAGCTTGCTCCCCCAGCTTGAACCCCACGGTGCTCAGGAGGCCATTCGTGGATGGCACGACCTTCTCAAAACGGTGTCGCACAAGCGACAGCACGACACACAAGCAGTTGGGATAAAGACCTCGTGGCGGCGAACAATGCAGTTATGAGGAGGCCGTCATAACGGCACATCCTCCCGCCAAGGGTAGGTTGAATTCTGTGTCGACATGGAGGGTCATCGATGCAAGAGAGACAACACACATCCTTTGTCCCGCTCGGCGTCGATGGGGGGCATAATGAAGAAGGCTTGATTGGGAGCAAGCGCTACTCCGCTCTTTCCTCGGAGTTGGAGAGGGTCGAGATCAAAGCCTTACGCGTATTCCGTCTCCACTACTCAGTGAAAAAGCAAAGAGATAGAGGAATGCAAATGCTTGTCTCACCCTTTCCCCGGTGTTCATGAGGATGAAGCTTCCGGTCCCGTAGGTGCATTTCGTCTGGCCCTCTCTGAAGCATATTTGACCGAACAGCGCGGCCTTGCTCAATGACGAGAAATACCGTGTCCCAAACGAGACGTACCACCAGGGGGAAACAAGTCAACAACAGAAAAAAAACAAGACAATGGGCATGGAATAGCGTGTCACAGCAGGGACGAACAAAAACAAATGCGATGTTAAGGCATCACCAGAGCAAAACAAGTTCAGGAAAACTACGCATTTCCACTAGAACGTAAATGTGCGCACTCGATAGAGTGCACATGAAAACGGACGGGAGCCTTTGGGCGGGGTGACGGCACCCTCAACACGCATTTCCACTACAACATAAACGCGCGCACTCGATAGAGTGCACATGAAAACGAGTGGGAGCCTTTGGACGAGTGACACCACCCAGTGACCCCACCCAAATTTGTTTTCTCTCAGTTTCACCGCCTCCCAAAGTGTCTCTGTGTGTGTGTGTTTCTTTGGCTAGCAAATTCCGCGCAAATAACCCGGCTGACAAAAACAATGAGGCCAGACTTGCTGCGGAACTAAAAACGCGACCGTGCCTTGAATTCGCGCCCCCCACAGGGCGGCTGAAGAGATCGGACGAAAGGGTCCAGTCTCTGCACTAAAATTACGGGTAATAGAAGGCTCGCAACAAGTACGTCACATGCCTCCTGCGGTGTCTACCCCTGTACTGGCGTCGTTCCGCTGCAGTCGATTGCCCCCTGTCGCTGTTTTTGGTGCGTGTGTTTCTGCAAGTAGCTTCGGCCGCGCCAACCGACTGACCAATGACAAGACGTTCTTGTGTGTGCGTGAGAGAGCGAGCGAGCTATAATAGCGAGCATTCTGTCCCTCACCCTCCTTCTGCACATGCGTCATCCATGCCAGGTTTTATCCAGCAAAAAATAAATTGCAAAGGTACCCTGCATACAGCAGTCCTCCCACTTTGTTCACCTGCTGGTCTCCGAGAATACCCGCAACTCTGACTCCGTTGAGGACGTTGTCGGGGTTATCCGCGACGCAGTACACCTCCGAGCTCGACACAATAGAGGGCAGCATGCACGCTGGGATGCTAAACGCAGCCAAGCAAACAGCACCGTACACGCGGCGCACGTTGGTCCGTCCAGCACGGGAGGCGAGGAGATGGGTGGGCATTGGAACATTCAGGTTGCAGAGAGTAGGAATATAAATCAGTTTTCGAAGGTGAGGAGATGCCCGTCTTGCCACAGCCGCCCTTGCCTGCTCGTCTCTCTGTGTGTCTGTGGGCGAATATCTCTCCCTATCCGTCTCCGTTCCTCTCTGCCTGTATCGCCTTTGTTCTATCCCAGCTCCTGCTTCGCCTTTCACAGACTGCACACAGCTATTGTGCTTTCCGCTCCGCTGTCACACACGCTCGCACTTCCAGAAATCTCACCCCAACTCCTGCAAGATACTCTTGTCCCAGTGGAGTCCTTCGAGAGACATGAGGTTCGTCCGGCTGGCGTTGGTCACGTCCGTGATGTGCATCCTCCCGCCCGTGAGCTTCCACATCAGCCAGGAGTCCATCGTCCCGAACAGAGCGTCGCCCCTGCCGCCAAAGAGTGATGGCGGTGTTGGCAGCGGTCGGGTGAAGGAAGGAGAATGTAAAAATTTACCTTTGCCAGTATTGTGGAACTACTGTGTCTCTTGCTGTCACGGGTGATACATGTCGCGACTACGGTTTCGCCGGTGAGAGTTTCCGGCCACAACACGGGGCTGCAAAAGGATAGCAGATTGGTTTGGTTGTAGCTCCCCCCGCCCTAGGTCATACCCGATTGGTGCCATGTAAACCAGAAATATCTCACCTGTGGTCTGCCCGGCCGCCGAAACACCGACGTGCTGCCTCCCCGGTTTGTGAGCATGGTCGCATCTATGGCCTGCAGACAACGGCAGGCCTGAAAAAACAATACCGAGTACTGCCCCTGCCTTGATTTGGAACGCCACGATGTTGCTATTAGCTTGCCACTGAGGCGCAGGCAACGCTCACTTTTCCGCCAACTCGCGAAGACCGGCCACGTTGTCTAGAAGCCACATGAGCTTGGTCGCGGAGAAGTAGGGGGAGATGGGCAGTCCCGTCCTACCCCGGAAGCGGTCGGCGCCGCCATTGGCCTTGAGATCTCTTTGGTTGAACATCGTGCGCGATGCGAGGGAGGTCGGGGGGGGGGAAGGGCGGGCCGCCAACAGGCTTGCACATTACTTTGGGAGGGAGGCGCAGGTTCCATTCCACAAAGACATTGCGAGAATGACTCTTTTATATCTTGACCATGACCATTTTTTTTTTCCGAGGAAATTTGCGTCTTGTAAGGTAGAGATTTCAGCAAAGACCGGCCCCCGCAGTTTCTCCAACCTCCTTGTCTCTCTCAGCTCAAGAACACCGACCCGGGGCAAACACACCGTAAGTCCTCTTCGGTTCACGCCTTCCTTCAACGTCGACATGAGGGGTTGGTTGTTCCTCGGGAACAAGAGCGTTTATCAGCTCTAGGTTCGAGTCGTGAAGAGAAACGACTCGTCACAGCGGTGTGAACCTCAAATCTATCTGTAAAACGTTCGGAGGTTACTGTGGGACGCAAGCAGCACACAATGTTCAGCAAGACGGTACGCAACAACTGTGGTTTTAAAGAAACGCGAGTCAACGTTAGGGTTTCCAAAGGCGATGCTTCCCGCAACAATAAATCACTCCGACTTGCGTGGATGGGAGTTTCAGGCAAGCGTTTGTTTGAACGTTTCGACTGTTCATAGGGTTACTCTTCTCGCAGAGCAGCTGGACGGAGGTTAATTGATCACGTCCCGTCTATCGCACACCACACAGAGTCTTCCCTGCAGCTATATGCTCGACGCGGACAGTTCTCGGCAGGCGTTGATCCCAGTTCGACACGGTGCATGCTAGACGGTCAGGAGGGGCATACTGATGGTGGGATCAACGGCATCAACAACATCCGTGTCACCACCACCACCACCACCAACAACAACAACAACAACAGCTCATGGATACCTGCAAATGGACTCTGTACGGACGTCGTTCCAGACGATGAGGGGATGGAGAGGGGTCCCTGTGTTTCTATCCCACACCAGAGTGCTCTCCCTCTGGTTAGTGATGCCCACAGCAGCCAGGTCGGGAGCGCCGAGGCCGGCAATGTTGAGGGCGGACTTCACACACATCTCCACGTTCCGCTGTGTGTTGCCATACGCGGAAATAAAGAAAGCAGGCGGGGGACGGAGGAACGAGGGGCGCGGGAGGGAGAGAGAGAGAGAGAGAGAGAGAGAGAGAGAGAGAGAGAGAGAGATATTGAGACAGATATTGAGACAGATTTGGAGCGACAGAACGAAGGGCGATCTTCTTGCTAATAGATGGGCTGGCTAGCTGGACCTCTGCGCGAGCTTGCTTCTCATGCACCAAAGCAAGGACTTCCTCGTTAGCGGCAATGATGCGAGTGGTGACGGGTAACCATGCCCCGCTCTTATATCCAGCATGGTTGAATGCAGCATATGGTATGGTTGCCACGTCGACTCAAATTTATGTATGTAAATGTGCGCTAGTGTGGCGGCGATCTCGTGGTGGCTGAAAGGCGGGAGGCCACACACAAACACGCTAACTGCATCATCATGGAAGGAGCTAGTGGAGGCGCACAAACTACCCGCCTAGTGATCCCACGCCAATGTGCTCATTTATGCCGACTATAGCTTATCAGACCCTGAACAAAATACAACAGCAGGGTGGGGCTCAGAAGCTCATCACAAATCCTCCGCTCCTCCAGCAAAAATCTGTGGTAAACGTCCTCTGTTGTAGGTAGGGTATATTTCCATGATGATTCGGTACGCGTGTGTGTGTCCTTCCACCTCTCCGCCGCCACGAGCTTGCCGCCACACATCCATCCGCACGTCATCTCTTTGAGTCTAATGTGTCAGCCGCGCTGCTTTTAACCATGCTGGAGTGATCGCGTTCTGAGAGCAGCTCGTATCTCGGTTGCTTTCCCGACGGAATTTTTGCAGTGTACCAGCCACTGTTTGTTTCGAGCGGGAAATTTCATGGTTGGTATCCTATGGTTGGATCAGAAGTGGATTCCTGCGGAGGAAACGGCCGATGAAAGGGTCCCATTTCCCGCCAGAATGGGGAACACTTCCAAAATCAGGGTACAATTCTGGAGAAAAGAAGCCGTGGCAGGGTATACCCCGGGCTATTTATGACACGGCAGGGTGAAAAGTGGACGTTGAGGAATCAGCTTGGCTCATTTGACGCTGTCAGATGTACCTAGCTGAGTCGCTGTTCGACCAGGGTACAACCCGGTTGTATCGTTTGCCCATTCTTTTTTGTTCCTGTGCTCTGCTAATGCTGCACAGCAGTAGAACCCCCACTCCCATAGGAACACGTGCCAGTGCGTGTTGTGAACGAGTGTTGGAAACGCAATCTGGTGCCATATTCTACTGCCTGTAGAGCACGCACCGACATGGACTGGACATGCACAAACATTGGAAGCATGCTACATCGAACTTCGTTGGGCGTTGAATCGATTTGCTGATTGTTGCCAACGAGCGAATGCATAGGTACAAAACAGCGTTATTCATTTTTTATTCATTTTCTAATCACCGATGGTGCTTGAAATGCACAAAATCAGAGAAAGCGTTCAACCTCCGGAACTTGAGTCAAGCCCTGTGTAGATGCCACATCTTCTTGCCCTTTAGGGTGCTTCGCACCGTTAGCTCGACTTGTTTACCTCTCAGGCCCTCGTCTATTCGCGATGATGTTCAACTTGGAAAGGTTGTCAGATTGGGCAACAGCACGCAGGACGCAGCAGCCAACAGCATTATTTTGTTCGATCATGCGCGCGTACCCATATTTCCTCCGCATCATGCTCGACACATCCGGGCCGAGGGTAGAATTGCTCATGCTCTATCTGGTGCTCGGCCACGATGCTTCCATCCTTGCCGAAGACGATGCAGCGGGAGCTGCTCGTACCCTGGTCGATGCTGGCGACGTACACCGGGGAGGCCTGTTGATCCTTCCCCGCTGGAGCGGTCATATCGTCCTTGGTGACTTCCCCTGTACCGAAAAACAGCCCTAGCACACCCGCCATGTATGCTGGTGCCTTGGCTGCTCGCAGTGATAAATGGTGAAAGCTGTGAGCTGCTGTTCGCTGTTGGGCTGTTGCTGTTGCTGTTGCTGTGGTGTGTGCGGCGCAATCAAGCGCGATCGGGGTTTCCAATGAATTTGGGGTTTGGGAACATGCAATGTTTACATTTATTTGACGGTTTCATTTGGTTTCATCGGAAACCGAAAAGAAACCTCGAGGTGACAAATTGTACACTACTGCTGTAGACTAGTAGGCGTCCTCTTTACAGGCTATCCAATGTCATCTCATAATGGATGTCACGGAAAATGTGTGGGTGTATACGTTTTTTAGCTCTGGGTGCGTGCCGTGGGGCGAGTCATGTTCACAACGCAAGTGGAGCTCACACTTCTCTAATGATAAAACACGGCCTCGGACGGTTCCGTTTGCCGCGCTTACAGTACTTCGTCGAGACTGGTATGCGTTTATGCTATATATTTCCAGCACTGTTGGCAGCACCGGTTTCGCTGTCCCCGCTGTCGGAATTGTCGCCGTCACCGCTGCTGCCGACTCGCCAAACCAGCCGCTACCGCCCCGAAGTCCGGACACACGCGGGCAAGAGCCACGGCCCCACCGAAGGCGCGATAGAATCTGGCAGCTTGGAACGCCGGTGACGCGAAGCAAACGTACGCCGTCAAGCGAAAGCGCCTCCGGCAGCCATCACCAGCAGCGGCAGCAGTCCGTTTCACGTCACCGAAGGCGTGATAGAAATCGAATACAAGGAACGTCGGTGACGCGAAGCAAACGTACGCAGTCAAAGCGAAAACGCGAACAGCAGCAGCAACCCGTTGCACACGCATATACCCGCGTTCGTTTCGCGTCACCGGCGTTCCCGTGTTCGGTTTTGAACGCGGGTTCGGTGGGCCGTGACTCTTGCCCGTATCTCGGGCATGATTATATTAGACGTGCTACGCTACCGTACTTGTACCAATGGCAAGAGCTCCGCCCAGTTGTCGCGATCCATCGAGCCCTGCGTAAAAAGCGTGTCCCGTCGGCACGTCGTTGTCCCTCCCTGCGGTCCTTCTTGACACAACACCCAGAAAAAACAAGCCCCAATATGGAGCCCTCCGTAGGGTCGGGGGTGGACAGTAGTGGCTATGACCTTTCACCGGAGGCTGGACATTTATTTTGGATTGTGGCGAGGAATACCACCAAGCGGGACCTGGCAAACTCAGTCAAGCCAAGGTGGAGTGGAGAGTTGGGAAAGCCTCGGTGGACTCATTTCCCAACTTACCAAAGATAGATTATCACTCATTCGAGGCGGTGAGAATCAGCAGAGTACCAGGTAACGATCTTTTGAAAGTTATTATCAACCCATACATTGTATCGCAGATCTTTTCTCTCAAAGTGTAGACTATTACATGAATATGTGGCGTGTCTTACTGCATGATGAACATTTCACATCCTGACCTCCACACAACGGCGACAAGTACTGCTTCTCGTAAAATCGTTGGACTTGTGTTACCAACACTGCGTTGTCTGGTTACCCTGTTCTCCGTTTGCCCCCCCCTTTCTGTTGCTGCCGACCAAAAAACAACACGCAGGCGATCGAAGTAAGCGATAATCTCTCATCGTCTCCAAGAGAAACCTCATTCCACGTGTACGAGAAGGCTACGCTGAGGTTTTGCTTCTCCACAATGCTCGCCGAGAACCTCGAGGTTTGCGTATTTGTCTTAATCTTTGTCTGTCTATATGTAGGCTGGGCTCCGGCGTATGGACACGGAGAGCGACAATTTTAGCAGAGGGGGAGGGAGAGGGGCGGTGCCGACTTTCTCTCAATCTTCAAAGAACGGAAGCGCGGAAGCGGCTCCAAACGTAGCGCGAACAGACATAGTCTTGGGCGGTAAGCCACACAGCCAAACCAATCGCGGTTCCCTGGACAGTGGTCGTGCTTCGGGTCGCAATATTCGTGGGGGTGCGAGAGGTACACGACTTTAAGTACGGTAGCCGAGAAATGTTGGGATTCTCAGGTGTCACAGCAGCATATCGCTCCCGACGGGTATCTTCAAAAATTCGATCGGCTTTACGGCAGATCGAGGAGGGCTAGGATATGTCCCAAAGTACCGGAATCAATGACGGACCCCACATAGCTCCGTCTAACTCGTGTTTGATTGACACGGCCCAAGTGAACGGAAGAAACTGCAACCAACCGCTACGAGCAACACACGTGACAACCGAGACTGTGAGTCTGCGCATCTCTGGCGAGATTCAACGAATATCTGCTGTTGAAGCAGCTTGGTTGGTCGGACCTTTGGATTCTGGATTCAGGTGTGAGCACTGTTGAAAGCAAGCCGACGAATATCGTCGACATTGCTACAGTAGTCCCAATTTTTTTCTCTTGTGCTCTGCGTTCAGGCTTGATGACGGAAGCGGGGAGGGACTCCTCATGTGTGCAAGGCGTGAAGACACGACAGACAGGTGTACCGGCACTTGAGGCATTTCGAAAACCGCCAACAACAACAAAGCTTGGGAATTCCAACCACGTTGATACCCCAACAATGAGCTTAGCTTACGTCGCGGAAGGTCTCGCCTTGGGAGAGCTCACGTGTCTAGACAAACTAGAGCCTAGCCGGTGGCCATTCAGGCTGAAGTAAAGGTAAACAACCAGATAGCCATAACGCCACTGTGACACAAGAATAGGCGACAAGGGCATCGTTTTCCCAGTCGTAGAGGAATACCGCAGTACGCCAATCACCTAACAGAGTAAAATGTAGGTAGGAGAGGTTTTCTATTGGACAAATGTACCGAGGTTATCTCGGCGAATAGCACGGAATTGTGAACGAAACACCTACGGTTTGTTCATTGTGATAAATCAACGCGACGAGCATCGTCGGCATCGCCTGTCTGAAGCTGATTTGTTTTTGCGGGTGTATTTAGCTGTTGGCTGAGTGCACTGCGTTGTCGATAGATCACGAACCGACGGCGGATGGAAACAAGAACAGGAACAACGGCTGCTCGGGGAACGAGACCGTACAAAAACAAGTTGGTCACCGTACAACACTACAAACAAACCCATTGGCAATCTACCGTGGACTCTTGTCTGTCGATCAAAGGTGCGGTGCTACACGTAGAGAAATCCACCGGTCACCGTTCGTTGTTGTGGTCAAAAACTATACGCTTGCACAGTCAGTATGTCACACTACTACCACCTTCTAACCGTGGCCACAGGCTAAGTACCCGAAGGAAGTAGACTATATCGACCAAAACAAGAAAACACCCAGAAAGGCAAGAGAAAGGTACAAGAGATATCGAACAACGAAGAACATCTACTGTTGTTGCTGATAATGATACCGTTTGGAATTTCATACTTTTTTCATAATAGACTGGCGCACCGAATGAAACCCCAGATGAGATGACTTCTTCACAACAAATTCGAGACGATGACAAAAAATGAGCGATAGAGACCGGACGAGGGCCACCCGGTGAACAGGAGAGAAATAGCACGCATGGTCGTACGTGTCGCACATTTCTGGCGTATGTATGGAGCATGGTGGCGCATCGGCGTTGTTTGTATTCGCTTTCGCCGCACCATGACTTACTGGGTCTAGGTCGAGTCGGTAACTTATTAGGCCCGCACACGTTTTCATGTCTAAACCGCCTCTGAAATGAACACGATGATGATGCCGTTGGTTGCTGCCACGCCGACCCTGAGATTCGAGTGTTTCCGACTTTGTTTAAGAACCCAAAAGCGCGATCAAGACAGGAAGATGAAGGCGAACCGGTCAAGAGGACCGCGACAACGGCACAGCGCGCATGGTTGCACACTTCGCAACATGCAACTTGTTTGCTCGTCAACTCACCGTATGCGCGTCGTCGTATCATGGCTTATCGGCACTATGTCGCGCAAACTTTCATTTACTACTAAGCCACCACCTGCACTGCACATCTTACCGGTGGTTGCTCACAAGCGGACGTTGAGATTCGATTTTTGCATTTTTGCCGACATTGTGAAATTGTTCAATAAGACAAAGAGCAAATGCAGCATACGACTTTTCATTGCTACTCGTACCCGGACTCTTTGCTGTGGAAGAGGTGGATTTGTTGAGTGTTAGAAAGAAAAATGAAAAATTGAGGAAGTAGACGGGAAGGCGGTGAACCAGAGAAACGTATGATGGATGGTCGCGCATGGTCGCACACTTACTTGTGGTGCATGCTACTGTGCGCGAAGGGTGATGAAAGTCGGCGTGGGCCCATGACGCGCGATACCCTACAAAGGCATTCTCAAGACATCGCAAGACGTGCGCCGTAGGTCGGATGTTTGCTGCCAAGCGGACCCTGAGATTCGATTTTTTCCGAATCCGTTATCGTCACCACCAAAAGAGCGATGGAGACAGGCACACGGCGAAACGTTGAAGACCAGAGAAGAACAGCGCGCATGGTCGCACATGGCCGTCCACTTGTGGAGTACGCTAACGGGCGCGGAAATCGATGGAACTTGGCGAGGGGCCATGAATTGTGATGCCCTACCGAGGCATGGTCGGGATGTTGCGAGACGTGCGCCATAGGTCGAGATCGGCTTTTGAGACACGGTCGGGCAAGGGTAAGGGAATTGGAACAAGAGGGCCTGCGACAAAAATGATTTTAGGCCGGAGAGACTGAAGCTTCAGAACTGACTGTTCCTTGTGACAACTGAAGGCACTTTTTGAAACACAATGTAGCGCGAGCACTAATGGGGAGCGTGTCGGACTGCATCGAAAGATCCGTTTAGTAGGAATATATATGTAGTCCTACTTTCGAAGCACCAACTGAACGCTTTGTGAACGTACAATGTTACGTTGTGCTACGAGATTGTAGATGAGTTCGTCGCACGCTTCCGTTCAACACGCATGTGTCGAATGGAAATTGTAGCGAACGGATTGTGCCATTGATTCTGCAGAGATATCTCGGAGATGGGATGGGCCCGAGATGGCTCACTGCAGAACGTCTCCACCACGCCAGACTTCTACAACTGAGCTACTGTAGGCTCAGATACCACCTGCGGGCATTAATGAAAGTTCCGTGTGGCATCAAATAAACCAGCATGACCTCTTCGGCCGCTTGCGCATCTCGGTTCAACCGCCTTCCGCACGACTCTTGGGTTGCACACCTCGACACAACTCATGAGGCAAAAAATCAACAATCAACACCAATGGTGGGCTTCCTTGCGCAGGAAGCTGTTGAACAGGGTGTAAAAACAGAACAGGACTCTGCCACCATCGCATTCGCAAAGGCTTCGTCATACAGCACTACAAAGGAAAAGGAGTATCCATCATCGCTTCCTCCATAATGGTGTAGTGAAAAAGGAGGGAGCAACTCTTCAGGAGGCACAGGACCCATGCCATCCATGAACCCAACATCACAAGAAACACGCATATATCAAAACTTCAAACCAGCTACATCTACTTCACACCGGTAAGCGTTGGCCGGGCCGATGAACTCTCTACATCTGTGAGAACTAAACGCTATTATGGGACTGTGTGTATCCCAGCACGTAGCAGTCGTAGCTGGCGCCCACCGACGCTAGTCGATGTGATTGCTCGTAGAGCTTGTAGTAGCAGAAGTAGTACAGCAGTACCTCAGTGCACACGAAGATGATGAGACGTTTTAAACACGGCGCTTAGGTGGCCAATACAGATAGATACGCCAGACAGACGGTTGTAGAAGGGTAGTACGCCAGCGGCATCCAATGTACGGCAAGGACAGGTTAAGTACTCAAATATTCTGATAGATCACAGAGAGAGCTCCCAAAGAGTGAGGTCGAACACCGAACTTCCTATTGTCGAGACAAGAGATAAACTTCGTGATGCTGTATTTCCTCCGAATACGCTACGTTCCAACCAACGTAAGATACCTACATGAACAGGGGCACCAAACATTGCCTAAGAAAGGGGATGCGTAGACACCTACAACAAAAGAAGCACTGAAGGCACAACAACGCCCGTTTGAATGGGTGGGACACCAGACTCGCACTCCGAAGGCACCACAGCTAAATTAATGTTCGGACAACCAAACGCCGCATGTGCGACACCTGCAGAGGCGGGCTAGACACCAGACGCTGAAGGAACGTGCTTGCTACAGTACTGGGGGGAGGGGTGGCGGAAGCCATGACTCTATAACCCTCGCCAGAGCAATCTTCATGGGGGGAAGAAAGTGCACGGGTTGCGTCAGAAACAGCTACCGTGATCTCGACGGGAAAATAAGGGGGCGGTCACGTAGCTGAAAGAACGGAAACATGCTCATGACGCGGAAGTGCACCGTTAAAATGTCCCGTCTATGTCGAGAGGATGGTCTGTTTGCCCTGTGCGCGGTGCAGCTAGAGTACGTTGAATTTCATTCCTGTATAAAAACAAAATCAGACAGCTGCACGCGAACTTCGTCCGCACCAGCTTCAGTGGGCGGGTAAACAACAAAGATCGAGGCTCCTTACACCTAGCACTCCCGCAATCCCCATTCCCAATCATGCCGTTGTGTTTTCCCGGCGGTGCAGGCCTGAGGTTTAGCCGTAGCAAGAGCGCGACGCCTAACTGGCAGTCCACCAAGCTCGTCTATACCCAAACCCGTATCTCCACCGATTTTTGCATGACTCTAGCAAGTGCTACCACCACCGCCCGCCTCCGCCATTCCCGGAAAACAGAACGCACTCGCCTGTAGATACACAACGTCATAGGGTGTGGAGCACACCCGGAGACAACGACGAACCACCGGGAAAGGGTGAACGGGTCCGGGCATAGGAAGGAAGTTGCTGGTGCTCCGCTTGTACGGCGGCCGGCCCATCGTTTTAGTAGTAGCAGTTGCTGGTGCCGTGGGCAGTGTTCTCGTGCGGCGGGTTCGGGTAGTAGCCGTAGGGGTGGCCGTTGCCGATGTGGCCGTTGCTGTAGTGCTGCTCCGCGTCGCCGCCGTAACATGGTGCGGAAATAGTTCGCTGGGTCACAGTGGCGGCGCTGCTGTACTGATGCGCGGAAATCGCCATCGGCCACGGTTGCTGTTGGCCGTTAGAGGGCGGGCGAGGGGGGGGCGGTTGACCATGCTCCGCGTGCTTACCCCCACCACCACTCCGCGGTTGCCCCCTGCTCGCAAGCCCACCAGGCCCACGCTCTCCTTGATGATACTCGTGGCCTCGCCCTGGTCCAGGCCCTCTCATCCTCCTCCTGAACCTGCTGCCGTTCCCTCTATCCCCATTTTGGACACCTCCCCCGTCCCGACCACTGCTGGAAGCGACCGGGTCGTACCCCGCCCCATCCTGGCCATCCTCCTCCCGCTGGATCTGCACATACCCGCGCTCGTAGGCGCCTGTGACCACATCCTCGACGTGCTCTATGGTTAAATCTTCTGTGGCGATGAGAATATGCTTCTCAACCTTGAAAGCGGGGGGTAGGTTGAGGGCCAAATGCATTGGAGGATCGGGGAAAGTCACACCAAGGCAAGCAAGCCGGCCTCGCAGAACCGCGAACCTATCGAAGTACGACTGTGGAGACTCGTTGCTTTCCATGCGAAACTCGTGATGTTCGGCTTTCAAACGAAACTTCTCTCTTGCAGCGCGACGTTCGTAGTACGTGCAAAATATCTTCCACCCTTCACTTGGGCTCCCCGCTGCCAAAATCTGCGTGAGAATCGGCATACACGTGATCGATGAAATCAAAATGTTCCACGCCTTGGTTGATCTCTCGATCAAGTCTTCCGAATACTTTTCTCGAAGTGAGTCTAGGTCATCACCACCAGTAGTAGGTCCTACCCTGATAGGCACCTCACGAATTACCACATCCGTCAAGCCCTCCTGAGCAAATATCGCCAAAAGAGTCGATTTGAAAACCAAAAACCTCGTCTGCAAGTCCTCCTCCCTCTCAGTCACCCCCGTCCAAGGCTCTACACACAGCTCAAGACCTTTCGGTGTCAAACGCAAAATGCCTGCACCAACACGACCCTCATGATGTTGTTGATGTTGAACGCTGAGCCCCGCCGTGATGGCTCGCGCGAGTGTATCAACGATTCCGTCGGAGGGAGAAGCTGCTGGAGAATTCCTCGGATTATCTGCTGTCGTCCCTGGTATCACTGCTGGAACGCTCGTGTGGGTTGCTGCCTCTGGCGATCCCGCTGGAAGGCCTGTCCGGCTGGTGTCGCCGCCTTTCGAGACATGTTCCTCGCTGATGCGTTGAACTTCTCTCTTATTGTACTCCTCGATTCCTTGACTCACTCCCCTTGTCATCCCCTCTTTTATGCAATCCTGCAATGCAGTAAAGTCCATGATGACTCACGCCGAACCCCAAGTTTGTTGAGTGAAGGCACCAGGAGATGAACTTGGCCCGCGACATGGATGGTGCAGTCAAGCTCGACGCACAGCCGGCGAGGGGGGGTGTGTGAAAAATACCCCGGTGCGGTCTGTGTGACCCCCCGTCTACGATGACGATGATCACCATTATCATGGTGAAGACTGATGCCAGCACCAATGGGACGAATACTCAGAAAAAGCCGCTCTCCTGTGCGAGTCTGTGATGGACCAGAAGAAGAGTACGCCCTGAGTCCCTCTGCAAACGAATGCCATGGTTCAACAGGTTTGAGGCACCCGAGGAAACCGCGCAGAAATTTCCCACACCCTCACCTTTGAGGATCCGACCGCAATCTCCGTACTCTAGATACATACCGCGGCTGTCGACATGTATTTCTAGAGTTGGCACGGGGGTACGATCGCACGGCGGTGGTGCCAACCCTGTGATTTGGCTGCTGTATAGTATGCATACATGGGGTGAAGAACACTCGGTCGAGACAGCTTTTGAAAGCCTCGCTTGCCAACCCTCTCGCCCGATGAGGGTCAAGACAAATCGCTGCCCTTTTACTTTCGTCGTTCATTGCCAACACGGTGTGTGTGCAGAGACGCGCCCCCCTCTACCCATCACCCTTTTATTGGTAGCGTCAGGGGAGAACTCCAACACCTCGGATGCTGCTGTGGTGGCGCCGCCGCCGCTTCAGTTTTGAGCTGTCCGCAACGACGGCCGTCTCCCCGGCCGCCACTACAGTAGCAATCTAGGCGACGCTCTAGATACAGCAGTCGCGGATAGCTCCGGGGCGCAAGGCGATATGTATGTATAAAATTTCGATGCTCAGGAAATGGAATCCACATCGTTCAAACCGGATATTCGTCATTTCTAGTTGGCAATAAAGGCGAACACAACTAGCAAATTCAGCAACACCATCCACGGCAGCGTACATCGCAAACAGGTTCGCATTGATCAGACAGCCCACCCTACGCACGGTTGGCAACCATTTGCTGCATCCACACTCTGCACCCCTTCCAAAATGTTGGCCTGGGCCTAAAGCACCTGCTCGGGCTGAACCATGTTGAATGTCAGCAGTATTTTAGAAATCAGGGTTGCTACAACTGGAACAGCCTCAAGATCCTACGAGACCATCCTAGCATCCTCGATATGGGATATGATGCCCAAGGAGTTTGAAGCAACATCGATGCAGAATCTACACGGCGGATTGGTGTACAACATCACGAAGCTTGTGGCGGCACCCTTTCGTAGCTCCTGTGATATTTGTCGTTCACCTGAACACACGAAGGCGAAAAAAAGCACCGACGGATTTACGAACGGGTTCAGCGTGGCGGGCATGGGTACTTCCAACATTATCGCGGGGCGCTCGACCGCCCTAAGAACCGCACCTTGTCGTACCGCCTCAGAAGGGCCGCTGACTCTCAACACTGTACAAGTAACCGTTTCGTGTTTTCGCCGCGCGCAGGGGGCAGGATGTCTGATGCCTCGCTCTGCAATAGGACCCGGCTGCTACCGGCTTGACGATGGAAGCGGCTACTTCATACTTCTTGCGTATGACCTTCTTCTATGCGGGGCAAAGAAACGCTGGAGGACGAAGCCGTCTCTGCACCCTCACATAAACTCCAAGAATTCGCACATACATTTTACAAATGTACCTGCGAACACCAACATGAGCAATGAGCTAAGTCTCGAAAGTCTCGCTTCGCTCAGGAGACAAGAAATCCTGTCTAAAACATGTGGCGCTTTGTACGCATTTGCCGCTCTAGAGGCTTTGTTGCACGTTGTCGTGCACCTGCATGAACGTGTGGCGGCACGGCCAGTTGCCTATCCTCATACATTCCCTCTAGCGTACTTGCCACGAACACACCGCCTCACCTCGGTCAGGTAGAACGTTCCCGGGAACAGCGCATCCGTCGCCCCGCTAGGGGTATACCCAGCCTTCCCGTACGTCTGCTCCCTCAGGTTCATAGCCTAAAAAGCAGCAGTTGAAAAAGGGAGAGTGTAGGATTTTCAAGAAGGCAGAAGAGGCGTGAAACAACATAGTGGAATCTCCGTCACAGGGGGTGATTGGGTCGCCGGTCACGGGAAAAACAAAAATCAGAAAGCGAGGAAACGAGGGATCCTGTACTCTACGTGCACGCTATGAACAGCTACACTCAAAAAAAACTTTTGCGGAGAAACACCCACCCGACAACAAGAGAGGCCGGATTCATGTTACCATATATTTTTGGCTTAAGAGACAAACTTCACAAACTAAAATGGGTACCGGTTAAGCCGTGGAGACGTTGCAAAAAGCGTGCCTTCCGAATAGACGGCTGTGCGTCCCTATGCGGCTTGCCTGTGCGAAGTCCTCGGGCCTACGTCCAAGTCGGTTCGCCAGGCGGTCCTTGATGGCCATAGCCTTCTGCATGCCTCCGAGGGAGAACTGCCCTCTGCACGTCGTTGATCGCCTCGCCTTGAAGCTGTGAGAAAAACGGAGACAAAGAAAACAAGAGGTCAATCTCTACTTTTTGGCACCACGAGGTGCAATGGACAATTAAGATTCGACCTGAGATATTGGGTCCCGATAACACAAATCGTAAAAAAATGCCCATAACAAAACAAAACAACGCATTATATTCAAATATATCGACGAATCCATCTCTATCCACAGATGAGGGTCCAGGATAAATTACGGAAGCGCTAAATAGCAGCGCTGCTTTTTGATGGGCACAAAACTGACAAAACACAAGGTGGAAACAGAGGAGCATGAACCGGATCATCATTGCAAGTGAGTGGGTGTTATATGTGAGCATTGCCGTTTGATATCGATTAACACCACTCGGACTCATAATCAACGAAGCACACAGACAAAAATTCGTCCGTCGCAAGTGCGTCTTTGCAAGCATTCCGACCATTTGTGGCTTCTGCCAAAACATTTACACATCGTCCTTGCCTGATTCCTGTGCTTTCTTTTTCCACACTCCGCAAGGCCCAAGAAGAAACGACTTTCAAGGGTGAACGCAAACAAGGGACAACAACAAACTACACCAAAAAGACGGAGATGATTCCCATGCGCGTCATTGGAGAAAGCCGATGCATGTAGCAAACGAAGCAGAAAAAAAGCCATCATAAGTGTGCAGATCCGCTGTTCCCGAGCACAGCTCCTCATTGGAAGCCTCTCGGCACGAAGAAGGACCAACTCGTCAAAGGCAAACAACAACGCTGGTAACATTTCGTTCATGGCTCAAATGTGCCGCCGAGAGGAGGAAAAAATCGTGCCACCCTCAGTAAAACCCACTCCGACGCAAACACTCGTCTTGAAGATGCGTAGACCCGAAATGTTGCTCGGCTGCGAGGCCGTTGATGGCGACTTCAAATTCGTGGCAACAACGACACTCGAGAGAAAAATGACAACTAAAACAACAACATTCACGAACAAATCGCAACAACACGACAGCAGTGTTCAGGACATGCTCACCTGTAGGCAGTCGCGATGAAGCCGGACCCGTAGCTAAACATGAAGACGCGGGCTCCCCCGCCGTCCTCCAGAGCGGTCCCCTTATCGGCCACCACCGAGACGAGACCAGCAAACACCGAGGCAGTGTAGCAATTGCCCACCTGAAAATGTAGCAGCAGGCAGCGTAAGGGATCCTTTTTAACTCAGTGAAACCCACGTGTAAGCGGCGCGGAAAAGTGAACCACCATGGAAAGCACCCGTCGACACATCACTCGCCCAATCCCCCCTCTGCTGACGTGCGCCAGCACCACCCTCTCCTTCTCAGCCTGCCATCATCGCCTGCGAAGCGAATAGAAACCGGTCAACCTTTTCAGCTGTCCGTGTTACCGAACCCTCCGTCTTCCAAAGTGGCCAGCTGAAAATGAGATCACGGCACCTCAAGTTGGCCCCGCTACCAACGCCCCACCTATCAAGTTGACGTCCCCTGTTGCCCCGATCACTACCCCGCACCGCACACCTCCCGATCCATCTCCCCGGGGGATCAACCGCCAAGTTACAAGACCTTGCGGCTCCCGGCTGACACTCCTCATTTAAACACGGTCCATCTACCGCCGAACAAACCAATGTCGTGAAGTGCGCAGGTCTGCACGCCACCGCTCCGTCTTCTCTAACCTCAAGCTCGAAAACAACCGCCTACTATCTGTCTTGCACAGCACGCCTCGAAAAATCAAGAGAAAATGTTCAAGGTGGCCTCGTTATCACGGTGAAAGATCTCCCCCCCCTATCTACCAGCTCTGACCCTCTCCTCATCCCCTTCTCCTGGCAGGACATCCACTCTTCAGACCGTACCTCGCGGCTGACTGTGGACGCTGGAAGACAACGCGCCTTGAACTCGCCAGCCGACGCCTTGCGGAAGGCCGCGTCTATCTCTCGGTCCGCGTACGTGCCCCCCAGCTCAACCGTGCGCCATCCCTCCGCGGCCGCCGCCGGCAGATCCCGGAACCCTTCCGCGGAAGGGTCCGAGCGGAAATCAAGGAACGACATCCTGGACGTCAGGATGAACGGCGCGGGGCGTACAACAGGGTTGAGTGTCGGGGGGGCGGGGGCGGAGGGTGAGATACACGGTGATTACTACTTGCCTTTTCTCCATGAAACTGCAACTGCAGCCCGCGACCGACAATCATCCTATGCTGATATTGCAAAATACTATGTAGCGCAAAATCCATTTTGGGTTGTGGAGGTGCTAACGTACCAAGCGTATTCTACGAGTGGAGCAATCACCGTGCTGTCGTAATGAAAAATCTATCTACACACATCTCAAACGCTTTCGTCTACACATGTCTGGCGCTGGAAGTAACTAACGTGCTGTAGCGCAAGATCTGCCGTCCACGCTTGCCTGCGCGAACGGCCTAATTCAAACGCCACACAAAACGGTTCAAAAAACGCGATGGTTTCACTGCAAAGCCCCCGACACGAGAGGACAACCGCGGCTGCAAAGCAAAGCAGAACCACAAGACAGATGAGACCTGTGCCGACAAGCACGGCTAAACGACGGCCCGAACACCTACCTCGCAAAGCCCTTCTGCACCAGCTTGTTGTAAGGTGCGTGAAGGCTCACGAAGTCGAACGAGTCCACCGTCACAGCCGCTGGGGGGGTGGTCGCACCCCCGCTCTGCGTCACCCCTGATGATGCCGCCAGTCTTTCTTGCCTGCGCGCCCAACAAAAAACTAACGGGGTTACTATTCTCTCTCTTGTGCGAATTTTCTCTCTCTGGCCCCCGGTGTCGTGTCACTTCCTCTCGCGAGAAAGTGTTTTCAAATCCAGACACATTCTTTTTCGATGCACTCTCGCCCCCTCTCTTTCTATCTCTCCTCTCAGACATGTGAAACTAGGAATGTGGGACACCGAACCCCTTCGCTTGCGCCACCGTCCCCGCGGTCTGAGGGTTAAGCGTGAGCGCTCGCTCCAAAGGCGATTGATTACCTGGCTGCCGCCTTTGCCCTGAAGCCGGCGTAGCACTTGTCCACGGACTCTAAATATACCGACTGGTTTCGGGTTGTTGAGGAGCGGGGAATCGAGGGGAACGCGTTCACGCGCTAACATCAGACACGACAAGCATGGCCGGCAAGGTGGGAACGCAACCAGGAATCTTCCCGCATGAAGCACTCACTCACGCCGAGGGGATCGAACAGGAGCAGCTTGCAAAACACGTGCGCAAGCACGCGCAAAGGTAGTCACGCCTACCCCCCTTCTGTGCTCTATATCGAGGAGGGAGGGTGTGTGGGGGGGGGCAACGGGAAACGGATACATTAAAGGGTTTCGTGTCCTGTTTCGGCGGGCAAAAATGCGGAAATAAAGAGAAGGCAAAGCAGCAGAACAATGAAAACACAAAGTAACTCCACACGTTCTCGCAGAAGGATATATAAAGAAAACAAAAAAAGATGCTCCATTCGTAGTGACGTTGAAGGAAAAAACAACCAATTGAAACTACGGAAGACCGCAAGCGCTTCGCGCACCACGCGTGACGTCATTTCCAAGACTAGGTATCTTCGCAGCCCGCACCTGGGACAGCCTCCCGTCGACTTCTGCGTACTCGGAGTGCTTGGGCTTGTAAAAGTCGTACGCATCTCGGGAGTGAGTCGACCTGGATGCGCAAAACAAAAACCAGTATGCAGATGGGCGAGAACACAAAAACAAAACAATAAAACTCACACGAATGCGAAGAGAGATAGTAGTAGTTCGAATAACGTTGTTTCCAGAGCAACAAAAAAACTAACCGGGGACAGAGAGGGCAAGGCTAGAGAGAGGGGCCTCCTGGTAGTACTCGTGGCGCCGGGTGAACACCGACGCCAAGCCTATGATTGCATGCCGCGCAGCCTTGTATTCTTAAACGGAGGACGAGGCGAGGCGAACTATCGCACAGCAGTGAGTGGCTTGACGAGCGCGCCCAAGACTCCAGGAAAGTGTGGCACGTATCGAACAGCAGGTAAGTCGAGGTTGACACGCTTCCAATCGTGGTGCTGCACAAGGGGTGGACTCGTCGCCGGATGCGGACAAGAACTTTGCGCGACCGCAAAACGGCGCGGTGACTCCCCTGCGGCGCGGGACATCATACTCCAGCGTACATACCCTATGCGGCAAAGGTTATTGGAGACGATTGGGTTGGCGTGAGCACGGCGAGCTGCTTCGCGCGTGACGTCGCAGCACTGGCACAAACACGCACCGTGTCGTGTCGTTAGGGTTTTGTGGCATGCGGCACGCACCGGAGGCCCGGCTCCAGGACCAGAGGCGCGTCGGGACCGACGAGCATCGCCACCGCGCCGCAACCACCGGTCGGGCGGGCGGGGCCGGCCTCGTAGACAGCGATGTCACCGCACACCACTAGGGCATAGCGACCGTCCCATTCGCTGTCAGGAGGCAAGAACGACAACAACACGCACAAAGACGAAACGCAGAAGAAAGCGACGGAAGGGGCAGGCACAGCACGAGGAACAGAGAGTTTGCGCGGGAAAACGGGGCGACAAGATAAGCCAAAAAAGGTGCGCGTGTGGGTACCCATGCAGGATGAAGCCCTCAAGAATTGGTTTTCGCTAGCCTAGTCTTTGACGAGCCGGGACAAAGAGCACGCGCTTGTGATCAGTCCATCTGCCTCTTGTTGACGGGGGAAGCCAAACCTGTGGCCCGAAAGCGTACGTGTGTTCAACTACAACCCCCCGACCTTGGTTGTCCTTCTCTATTTGGACGCTAGGTGAATGACCCTCACCCTACAGCATGCAAAACACGAGTGCTGGAACACCATCCTCATCATGGTTCCGGGCGCCGAGCTTGTTCAACTATACTAGCAGACGCCAGACAACCACGGGTTTGTGGTACTGAGGGCAGGATCTGTGCTCAGGACGGCGATACCGGTTGTGGCCGTACGGCAAGAGGTTCAGGGCAAGACCCGGTGGTGGCTGTACGGCAAGAGGATAGGGCAAGGCGAAACCGTTGCGTATTTATGGCACCACTTCGCCTGATATGTGGCTCATAACGAGCCAGAAAAACGGCTGCGAATTGTACCCCGCCTCCTCGCTCTCCCCACTTGTCTCGCCAGAAGACTGACGCCGTTCACCAACAAGCAGGTTTAGAGAGGTCCATGATACTTGAAGAAAAAAAACACACACACAAATGCATAGAGTATGTTCTCGTACTTATATCCCGCAATGAGACTGACGGCGTTTCATTAGTCAGCCAGCTATAGCGCGGTCGGCGGTAATCAAAGACGAAACACAGAACGCAAGCCTTCTTCCCTTTTCAACGCTCACCTGCTCTCGACCCATGCCACCGAGTTGAAGAGAGCCGCACTGCCGCCGTAGCAGGCATTGTACGAGGTCACGCCCTCCACGTCCGTGTTACTCTCGCCCAGGAGGGGCATGAGCCAGGTCTTGGCCGACTTAGACTTGTCCAGCAGCGTTTCCGTTCCGACCTAACAACAGAGGCGATTTCCGAGCAAGCAGGCGGGAAATCTGGTGAGGGTGGGTGTGGCATGAGTTTGCAGCTCTCCCTCTATTCATGTGTGCGCGAGGCACGCAGGACGTCAACTTTGTCATTTTCTCATCGCACAGTAGTTGTCGTTTGTCTTTCAGTGATGAGAGCGTGTGCAGCAACGTCCCGCAACCACACCACGGCAAGTTGGGACATCCGTATCCCCTAACCCGCCCGTCATCCACACAACTGGGTCGTCCGTGCTCGGCATGTGATAGACTTCCCCAAAACTGGGTACCACGGGGGTACTAGCGTCAACGGCAAAGCCAACGAGCCAGAGAGCCATCCCGTTCCACCTCGTACTCGCAGATCTCTTTCAGGGTGGCTATCAACCCCCCTCCCTACCCACCTCAAGCCTCCCGATCTTGGCCGGATCAATGTCGTATTTCTCCAGCAGGCTCTGCATGACTGTCATCAGCACGGAGTTGATGTCCTCCCTGACATGGTCGCGGCAGGTAAACCATGGCGTGTAGCAAGGTATCCGTCAGCAGCAGCGGCAGCGGCAGCGGCAGCGGCACCGGAAAGTAGATACGCAATGACAACGGGACCAAAAATGCTGTTGAACATCTAGCAGCGAGCAAGCACCGGGGCGGAGCCCAGTGCGCAGTGGTTACTGTCGTTTTGAAGTCTGGTTGGCCGAAGCGGAGCACAAGCCAGACCTAGACCATCGATGTGTGCGGCACGCTAAAAACACTCCTCAGTTTGCTGGACACCCCCGGGAAAACACCTGCATGCCAACCAATGAAGCACCATGTTGCGCAAGCCCCCTCCCCCGAAAGCCTGGTACCCTCTGTTCCACTCCTGTAGGTGACGTGGAGATTCACGAACCAGCGTAAAGGCCGCGCAAAACGGCTATGCCATGACAATCATCAGTACGACCCCCATCGGTGGTTTTCCCGCTCATCCATACACGCCTACCAGACGACGTTGTTGTTGGAGCGAATCGAACACAGCAGTAAAATGTCTCCACGACAAGGACATCATATCACAAAATTAGACCCGAACGCCGTCATGCAGCCCCCCCTCAGCGCCTCCTTACCTATCATCCACGAAGGCCAGTTTGTTCTGCCCGAGCCCGACCGTGTATTTTCCCTCGCAGCCATCGGTCTTCTCCAGGTCCGACTTTTGTATTCAAGAAACGCGCACAAAACAACACAAAAGCGTTCTCCTTCATGATCTGTCAAGATTGATGTCGTTCCGCTTGTTGGCGAGTTTTTAGGGCCCATCCGTCCGTGTGTACGCGGGCAAGCATGTACCGTCGTGCCAGGAGTGCTGCCATCCGCGTGAATCGGGGAAATACAAGCTCGATGGTGTACATCTAATCGGGAGGAGGGCAGGGTAAGCGGAGTTGAGGGACAGCAGCGAGCGAGGGGTGTACTATACTATGCAAGGACAATATCTATCTTCCTGTGTAGGAGCAGGGTGGATTCGTGTTTGAACTACAGCAGCCCCCGCCTAGACGGCAAATCATCAATAACGTACTGTTTCGAGTCTACCCCAGTGTGTAGCAGCAGCAGCAGCAGCAGCAGCAGCAGAAGCAGCAAGAGGATATTCAGGCGCATGACCGCGCAATTTTGAGAGCATTCATGCTACTGTAGTTTCAGGGAGGTGCCCTTGTGGACGAACATATACTTTCGCTTATGATCTCACGCAGGGTTTACAAGCGTTGAAATGCCTTGAAACATTGTTGCTGCATGGGTCTTGGCACTACTACAGTTAGTGTTCACCACCGGGTACAGTATCATACAAAAGCTCTGTTCTCTCGTACGTGCAAACATGGTAGTCTTCCGTTGTGTCCCCGCGTTGTTTCAGAAAAGCTCGGAACTTCGCCGCATGCACACCAACATTAGTATTTGGGTGCTGCTGTAGTTGGTCCGTGACCGCCGAAGGCGTCCGCGTCAGTGCAGTTGGACCAGTACATGCACTAGATATTAGAGGGTACTGAGAGGAGACCGGGACGGCTTGTGTAGACAACAACAACAGCAACAACAAATACACACCTGCTCCACGTACGATCGCGGAAAATACATGTCCATCGCAAGAATCCCAACATTTGAAGGACGGCAAGTCCCGCCTGCTGCTGCTGCTGCTGCTGCCGCCGCCGCCGCCGCCGCCTCGTTTGCATGGAATTCCCTGAAGTTATAAATTACGATATCCACGTACATACGCGTGCATATGCAGAAGCCGTAGATATACCGTCGGGTCACTTGTTGCTAGGTAGGTACTTCGTAACCTGTGTGAAGATTGTTGTGAATGGTAGCCCCACCCAACTCGATCTCCAAACTCCTGTTGACCCAGCACTACACAGCCGTACATAATGTACAGCAGGCACCTTTTAAGTGCAGCCCAGCGAAGAAAAGGCTAGCTTTCGCGCATTTGAGGATGACTGCAGATCACGTGAACAACGTACGGTCGCTTGCGCATAGCGCTCTGTGTAGTGCGTTACTGCAGTGCTGCGCTTGCACAGAACATGACATGTTGGAACAATGGCAACAGGCCGCACACCAATCTCGCATTCTGATATTTGAGTAACACTCACGCCATATTTCTCCGACGATCTTGCCCCCTCTAGTCGCGACACTGCCCCCCTGTAGGTCGGACACAGCAGTAGGTGGTGACAGAGCAGAGAGGGAGAGCACTGCTGCTGACTTGTCTGCCTCAATGTTTGCGCTCCGCAGATTCATTCGTACATGCATCAGGGGGTGCCGTGCCGCTGTAGTTCTGTCTGCGGGCCCTTGTGTCTCTGCTTTTTGTGCGCTCACAACTCACAAGCCAAGCAGCAAGCAGCAAAAGCTCAAGGCTACTCTGATCCCCCACTCTCTCTTGCCGCGTCGCTCTCCCGCTCTCTCGCTCCCTCTAGCATATATATCCTCCATACAGGACATCGACAAGGAACGCATGTAAGCTCGGCGAATCTCAGTGTCCGACCTGTGTGTGTTTGTTTTCATCCGAGCTGCAAATTTGAAATTGCTCTCTTCTTCTTCTGTTGGTCACGTTTGGTCGAATGAAAGCTGTTTGTGGCTTTGGACATCTGGACCGAGTCGCTGTCCATTCGTTGATACCCATGCAATGGAACCAGCCCATGCACTAGGAACTCATGCTCATCTGCAAGCGGACTGCGCCAGACTCTCCATCCGAGACTAATATGATACCATTCATTGTGTTGTCCGCACGTGCTTGTTCAGAGGGATTTACATACTTATACATGCAGGCATGATGATCCAGCAGCACTTTACCAAACAAATGAAGCCTCACAAACATGAGACATTTCAGAGCAATCACCTTCAAACCCTTCGGAAGTAAGTGACTCTCCTCCATCAGTAGATAAGTTCGGGAACATGTTTGTGTACAATATATCGAATGGGTAGTCTTTCTGTGTTTGTATTTACGTTTCCTAATGTATACATCGATTTATGTGCTTCCCCCGCTCCCTATCTCCCTCGCACCTCGATTCTTCTCTCTCCCTCCCTATCTTCCTCCTGCTGCCTAGCTCTTCGTTTTCTCTAACCTCCCTCTAGCACATATAACATCGTCGGCTGAGCGGGGCATCAACGAAGAACATGTAAGCCCAGTCGATATCTCAACTTGCGCCATGTGTAGACCCACCACCGCCCGAGCTTCCAAGTATGAAATATATTGTTGTGGAGACCACGAATAAATGAATGAAAACGCCATTATGTCGACAGCAGCAGTGAATCCATCCGATTCGTTACAAGCCATCACTCGAGCACATGCATGCAGCATATCTACATTCAAAACGGATTGCCTCAAGCTCTCTCTACCCAAGGCCAGGTGCGAGCAACGGCAGCATACCCCCCAGTGTCTCTCCTCGTATCATATCCGCCGACGAGGCTATTTGATATCCATTGATTCATTCATTAGATGAGGAATCACAATGTGTCCCGGATGGTTATTTTATGACACAAACTGATTAAGAATTTTCACCGATTGATGAGACAGGGCCCGCTTCAAGCAGACTGCGAGAAGGACGATCAGGACTCCCAGGGGAAGCAACGGCAACGCACGTGCTTCCCGTCCCCGCTCTCCACCTTCGAGAGCTTCCAGGCGTCGCTCTTCCGGAGCCCCGCCTCTCAAACGCAACCGCGGCAGCGACAAAGCCGATAGCCGTGAAGACATTGATACTGCCAAGAGAAAAAAGAGGTGCCACGTTCGACTACAAAAATATTCAATAGCGCTGCTGCATGCTTTAGATTTCATACGTTCATTCTACAAGACAACATGCATCGCCGCTATTACTCCTCGAATATAGCTAGCTATCGCACCAATTTCGGCCCTGTCCATGCATACAAGGCCCGTAGTGACGACTCTATTATTATTGTGAAACGACCGACAAACAAAAGTTACACGCAGCCGGCGCTATTCATCATGAAGGTTCCGGCCTGGAGCGCTCGCTCTGAAAGAGATTCGGCGCTACCAAAATTCGACCGAGTTGCTGGTATCCAAGGCAAGCTTCCAGCGCCTCGTGAAAGAAACCGCTGGCGCCGTCGCCGGGAATCTGGCAGGGCAATTGCGGTTTCAGTCGACTGCCGTCATCGCCCTTCAATATGCGGCGGAGGCATATTTGGTGAGGATATTCATACGAACTACTTGTCCACTCGTCATGGAGATGTTGAATCTCAGGTGTTGGGAAACTGGGGTGTCGCGCGATGGAGTTACGATATTTTGCTGCCCCTTGGAACGTAGTACCACAAGGTAGCGCCTGTACCGAAGACCTCCGCGGCGCGCAGCACTTGCCCAGTTGACTGCCTTGCCATAGTGTCGATTTAGGCTCCCTTCCGTACGCGATGGGTAGAACGGATCCAAACATCGAGGTAGCTTTTGCCGGCGCTACAGAAGGCACAGGCAGGTTTTTCTCCGAGAGGGCCCAGGAAGAGAGTGAGCAGGGCGGTGCCACGAGTGGCCGGCCCGATCATGCCAGCAAGTGGTACGTGGGAGAATTGGGTACGTACCAGTATGTCGTCTCCGGGATTCCCACGGTTATTGGAATGCTCGCATTTTCCTGCATTCACTCGGAATGCTCGCAAATCCCAGCATTCACCCCTGTCGCGTGGCAAATTCCAGCATTCACTCCTGCCGCGTGTTGCCTCTTAATCAATGATGAAAATATGTGTCAGGATGGTACGTATGGTATGGCTGCGAAGCACTTTATTGTTGTTCCAACTCACAATGAATAGTATCGTTTAGGTTCTGGCTAGTTTACGTTGCGCTACAGTACCCGTACCTTGACTGGCTTTTCTCTAACTCTCGTCCCCCCCTCCCTCCTTTACCCTTTCCCCATCACCGCCTCCCTGTGTGCGGCTAGGTCGGTCTGTTCGAGGACACCAACCTATGTGCCGTACACGCGCGACGCGTCACTATCCTGCCGAAGGACATGCACCTGGCGCAGCGACTGCGTGGAGAGGTGTAATGTCCTGATGCGTGACTTTCGTCTTGATCTCTCTCGTTTTTCTATCCCACCCCATGATGAACCGGGTTTTTTTACCGATTTTCTCCGCAATCCGACAGAGAAGGTTGGATACGCGCTCTTCTAGTTAGTTCTACCGAAGACTGGTCTCGCTCTCGACAAACACCGACACCATTTCTTATTGGATGGAAGATGGGAAGTCATTGTCAAAGGGAGGCGGAGACGCTGGGGGAAACTACGGTAGCACAGGTGGTATGTGTGCAGGACCATCGCTCGAGTTTGATTTCGAGTCCACGAGCGAGCCAAGGTGACGCCCCTGCACCATACTGGTTTCATATTGTATATCATGCTACTGTAGATAATCTCAAGTCGCAAGCCGCTTCTATCTGTGCGGAGCAGCAGTTCACCATCACCTTTCCGCGCCCTCCGCGGAGTATGACAGTTCCAGAGGGTGAGTGAGATACGATATGGTGAGAAGGAGAGCCCCCGAAGGAGCAGCAGGGGGGGCATTCGGTATCAGATGCGAGGCACAACTTTCGATGGCAAACACCGTCGCAACCAAATGAAGGAGATAGGTGCGCATAGTAGTGGGGACAGGGGACAAAAATATTCCAAACAATTATCGTGAGGACCGAAAGCAGCAAAGTTTCTCATACAAGTTGAAGCCTGCTAAACTTCACAACTGTAGTGGCCCTGAACGACAGCAGCAATCGGTCCGTTCATGAGTTGTGGCACCATATCTATGGTCTGCTATGTACACCGTATGTCTATGAGTGAAATGGCAGGCCATGGTGGCACCTGTCGTCCTGCTTCTGGTTGTTGGAGTTTGAAACGGGATACATACGTACCGCGTGCGAAATTAGATTCGGCGGGATAACTTGTAGGTTGTGATGATGGGTCCCCAAAAGAGTATACATGTATTGGCATTGTTTGTGGTGTGTTGTGGTGCAGTATGTGCGTGCCCCCGTTTCGTTGGGCTACGGCGCTTCATTTGTTGCAGTGTCTACAGGGAGGGGCGTCGGGGGTGGTATGCATATGCATTTGAAACAAATTACTTCGTACGTTATTATTTCGCTGTGCGTGTGTGTGGTGATGGCCGGGGCTCTATCCACCACATCAACTCTGTTTCGCGCCGCCGTTCAAAGAAATGGCTCGAGATTGATGGTCTGGGCATGCTAGAGAGGAGGATGCTCTGTTTGAGTGTCGGAGAGGCGGTTCTCGGTGCGCAAGGACGCGGCCATGAAGTTTTGCGGACGTCTCGTTTGAAGCATGAACCTAACCGCGAGTGACGAGTGTCCGAGAGGCGAACATAGAGAATCTACGAAGTTTAAAAGCGGACTTCACGAAGAAGTGCCTCTCTGCTCGGACTAAACTCAGGAGAAAGAGTCGAAACTGCCCTCCGGTGCCAGCCCACAGATGGCTCGGTTGTTTCAGGTTAACTTACTTACTTTCGCCTTCTTAGTCTGTTGTCTGCGTTTTCTGTTGATATATGTATAGCTATGTTACGCACCATCGTTGGTATGAAGGAGCGAGGCAGCATTGGCGCACGACGGGGAATGACGCTGCGGCTGTCTCTAGGGCTGCAATCACGGTCAAGAATGGGAATTGGTGCCGCCGTGATGAGCCCCAACGCGGGCCAGTCCACGGTTTCGAGCCACACCCGCGACCGCATGTATTGTATGTGTGTGTGCTCCTTATTGCGATGTGGCGAGCGTGACCGAGCGAACTCAGTCAAGCTACTACACAGTGGTGCGGAGTGTGGGCGGACCCATTTTCCCATCCTCCTATGAATACAGATTCATCAACTATCCGCGGCCGTTGGGAATCGCAAGAGTCATGGACCCTTGGGAAACGGTAATCTATGGATTATCACGTATTCCCTCTCAGATCCTACTCTTTTATGTACGTGGATCTGTGCTCCCTGAACCTCCATATCCTGACCTCCACACTTGCTTCAAATAGCATACATTGTACAAGGCTTGCATATACATCCCTTCGTATTTATTTGGGCGAGGCTGACCATCCCCTCCGCAGGTACTTCTGTATGTGTAGGTTCGCCTTTCTCCTGTCTGCTGGCGAGCAACGAGGGTTCCGTAGTCTAGACTTCATATATATATTGTGTACAGAGTACAGACAGCAGTCCGTCGGGGGGGAACAACATGCGATGGTCAGACTCCTTCTTCTCTCGGGAAAACATCTCAGTGCCAGGGTACGTCTGACAATCCTTCCTCGTACGCAAGTTTCTCTTCGTCTCACACGTGCTCCTCTCTACCTTGATGCCGGGCACGTCCCTGCTTTCCGGCGGTGCTTGCGGTGCGGGGTGCTTTGTGCGCTTGTCCTCTGCGGTTGTTTTCTACGGGACTGTCCGGGTCATCCCCTCCCCACTTTTCGAGGCGTTTCTTCCGAGAGGGTCCCTGTTCTTAGGCCTCGACTTTCTTCCCCTTGCCCTTGCTCCAGTTTGCGTTTGCTTCTCTCAGGCTTTCAACGAAGAACGACGGGGGGGGGGCAGGAGGTAGGCGTCCACAAGCCGTCGAAACTAGTGTGCCACTGACGAAGGCTCGGCACGGTTTAGAGCGCATACATCGACACAACGACTCCATCAGTGACACCGGGGTCTCCATAACATTCCACATTCCATGCCGAACCAATCCTCTCGGCAGGCAGGGACGCCATCGTCTACACCAATCAGCGAAGGCACACAAGACAAAGGTTGAAACGTTGGACAGGGCCACTCAACCATGATGACCAAGTACCCACAGGTAGAACGCTGTTCAAGAGGAAGGGGAAACGGAAGAGAGCCCTGTACGGTGTATGAAGATCTCGGCGCCCTTGTCAACCAGAACGATTGCATGGGTTGCGTGTTTTTTCGTATGGAAAATAGAGTAGATTATGTGACGTGTCTCCTCGTCGCTCCTGCTCCTGCTTGAACCAAAAACGAAGAACTTTTTTGGCGTGATGGTTCTCCCCACAGCCCGCAGCAGTATTGACACGGGCCTGCACAGCAGTAGGTCACTCATACGCCCCAACCAGCGTGCGTTCTGTGCATGTACCTCCTCTGCCCCGCCTGCCTCCGGTGTCATTAACCATTTGATCACGACGACATCTGCCCATCGTGCCCTACGGGGTGAAGGTGGTTCCAGAACAACCACTTCAACGGGCCAACAACACAGAACTGGAGCCGAGCGAGATCAACAACAGCAGTAGTGGCCAAGGAGAGCGGGGGGGGGAGGGTGGAAGCTGTACAGCGGAGAAAGGGAGGGAGGGAGAGGGGGGCGGATTGCCAGAGGGCTCGATGATGATGGAAAGAAGTGGCCTCACGGGCCGGAAGGTAAGGCCGTGTTGCGTGAAAATGCCCAGATGTGTGTGCCGACAGCAGACGAGGAAAATGAAGGTAGATTTGTTGTTGTACTTCGGCGGTTTCTGAAGCTCGAGAGAGAAAAGGGTCGCCATCCCTCGTGTATAACATGGGGAAATCGCTTAAAATACGTTCAAATCTACAACACGGATGGCTAGACTTTTGCAAAATCTGCGGTTGAAGGGTGCTGCTGGTTGGTTGATGTTGATCTCGAAAATTGAAAACTACAAACGAGCGTTCCCAGCAATCAGTAGCAAGTGTTCGCAGGGAAGCCGTGGTAGAGCAGTGGTTGGTACGGTTGTCTCCACGAGCTTCTAGTATAGTAGGGGGAACGATTGGCCCCCCGGCCCCCAGTGGAGCGGGCGGCCAGCATGCGTGACATGGGTGCGGCGGTTTTATAGGCAGAGGAAGCAGAGGCGATAATGACATCGATACGAAAGAAGGGTGTAAGTCTCAGACGATGTGAGGTCCTCACGTCCGTCCGTACATGGCGTAGATAATCGGTACATGTATGCATAAATAGTAAAAATTAAAGATGAAACCGAGGGGAATTTTCGTGAAAGGTCGAGATGCCCGATCACCATCAAACGTAAAGCGAAAGGAAGACGGGTGTGGGGAATTTTGTGAGGAGGGAATGCGTGCGTGGATGAGATCGAACATGACATCCATTCCGTGGATGACTGAGGTGTTGTCACCTACGCTTTCGAACAAGTTATGGCCTCGTATCGGAGGCTCGTAGACAACAGCACACCTATTGCGGTTTGTGACCTCCAACAAACTGTCGGCTACCACCTTGCCGGAAGACATTGTTGCTACAGACAGGTTGGCGTAAAGTCGCGTGTTCATTGTTTAGCGCGGAGAACGTCCTGTTGGAGAACATCACTGCACGCTACAGCAGCAGCAATCTTCGATAGTATCCGGACGATGTCCTCTACAACAGTAGAACACCTTGTGATTGATGGCAGATTGAGAAGAGAATTTGAATCCGAATCAACACGAAACAAAACATGTTCAACACTGCGGGTGCATGCGCTAAGACGTGTCTACAGCAGCAGCATTTCACTTCGCCCGGTGCCTCGCATTGAAGTATACCCTTCGGCATGCAGCAGGAGGTATCTCATGCAGCTGATGTCGCAAAGATGCGCTATAATGAGTTTTCTTCACCCACGTACACAACAATCGGTGTGGGTAGCAAAGCAGGCATATTTATGTCACCCCCCCCCAAGCAGGAGACACAACACATCAAACGCGGTATTCTGTAGTTCGGCAGCAGCAACGAATGCATGCCACGGGTGGACGCAAGGTCGCATGTTATTTGTTGAGCGCGGAGAACGTCCTGTTGGAGAACGTGTCACTGCACGCTACAGTAGCAATGTTCTGTAGATGTAGCCTACAGGTGGAGAACCTTAACCTTCTGATTGATGATGGCAGATTGAGAACAAAGTTATTTTTTCCGAAACCATAGAAACAACACGAAACAAAACATGTTCAACACCGCGGGTGCATGCGCTAAGACTTGTCTTACAGCAACAGCGTTTCACTTTACGCGGTGGTGTGGCGTTCAAGTCCCCTTCGCGCGGTCGCATGAGGTATGTCATGCAGCCGAAGTCGCAAAGATGAGCTAGTTTTCGGTCTTACCCAGCGTACT